GCCCGTTGCCAACTGTGTCCACATACCTATTCAGAGGACACCATCATAGGACCTAATCACGTCGGCCACACTATCAGAGGCTCGTTCACCTGCACATCCAATGTGATATATGCCATCATGTGCCAGCAATGCCCCTCTGCCACGGACATTGGACAAACCAGACTGTCTCTACATAAAAGAATAAATGGACACAAATCAGACGTCAAGAATTATAACATTCAAAAACCAGTCGGAGAACACTTCAATCTCTCTGGTCACTCGATTACAGACCTAAAAGTCACAATATTACAACAAAAAACCTTCAAAAACAGACTCCAACGAGAAACCGCTGAATTGGAATTAATTTGCAAACTGGACACCATTAAATTAGGCTTGAATAAAGATGGGGAGTGGATGGGTCATTAAACAAAGTAAAACTATTTCCCCATGCTTATTTTTCCCCCCTACTGCTACTCACACCTTCTTGTCAACTGTTGGAAATGGGCCATCCTGTTTATCACTACAAAAGGTTTTTTTTCTCCTGCTGATAGTAGCTCACCTTAACTGATCACTCTCGTTATAGTGTGTATGGCAACACCCATTTTTTCATGTTCTCTGTGTGTGTGTATATATCCATCTATCTTCCTACTGTATTTTCCACTTCATGCATCCAGTGAAGTGGGTTTTAGCCCACGAAAGCTTATGCTCAAATAAATTTGTTAGTCTCTAAGGTGCCACAAGTCCTCCTCATTCTTTTTGCTGAAGCAGTTTTGACACCAGCCCAGGAAATCAGTCAGCCTCAAACTCAAAAGATCCCAAAGAGTGAACTTTATCAAAAACAGAAAAAAAGAACAAAAATTTAGAAAGGAAAACTGCCAGTTACAAGACTGCAATACAAACAGGAAATGTTACACTAGAAACGCTGTGAAATCTCGTTGCTCAAGCTGCTAGCAATTATTAGTATTTCCCATGATTATTTGCTATTAAAAATACAAATTAAATAGCACAATAACATCCATCGGCACAATGTTAACGAAGTTAATGATGAAGTGCTTAGAGGAATAAAAATAACATTTTAAAATAATTTAAAGGAGTGAAACTTTATCTACAGCAGATTACAAGAAAAGGAGTCAAAATCAGGGAATAGGAAAAGTAGAGAAGACAATGAGGCCCCACCTCCTGGAGTCACCTGATTAGATCAGCACTTTGCTTTTCATAAATAAAATAACTAATTACATAAAACCACCCTGGAGCAAGTTTAGAGCCCTCACGTTTGCAGCGGAAAACTTGAAACCGAGACCCAACCATAACTGGTGCAGCAAGATCTGCCTGAGTCTGCAGAGAGACTAAGACCACAGAGGGCAGAACTGCTCCATGCAACCTAATAGAGCATTAACTCCAAGAACCACTGTGCTGGGGTCCTGTTTCCAACCCCAGGCAGAGAAGGAGAAGCCCCCATCACCTCTCCTCCCACTGCAGCCCTGGCTGCTGAGCTGATGGGCCACAGGTTGGGGAAGGGAGAGAGAAACGCCTCCAGCCGTTCCATCTGCCTGGCTGAAGTTCCCCCCTCTCCCTTCCCCTCCCAGATGGGATCCCCCTTCTTTAGAGATGAGGAGAAGGGCACTTGCGTCAGACCTCACCTTCACTCTATACACCTGTCCCCACCCCACATCTTCCACCAGCCCCTAGGCTGGGCTCCCCCAATTACCTGGAGCTGTTCCCTGCAGGGGGAGTGTCCCTGGGGGCTGGTAACTCCTCCCCTCCCCAAATCCCCCAGGGCGCTGCGCTCTGAGGGATTAAATGCTAAGGGACCAGGAAGGAGGATGTTGGGCAGAGAACGGCGGGATTGAATGGGTGGGGCTGGTGGAGCTGGGAATCAGAAGGAACAGGGTGCTGGGGCTATTGAACATTTGGGGATCATAAATAAGACCCTTATCACTCACCCCCTCTGGCCTTTCTCCCTGTCCCCTCTGCATTCAGACAGCACTGCTGAGAGGGACTAATTCCCACAGTGCCTTTTGTGAGAGGCCCAGAGGCCTGGGGGATCCTACCTCTGCTTCAGCAGGAAACTGGGTTTGTCCCGACTGAGAAAAGTGGTTGGGTTAACTCGCACATTTCCCCCTGACCCTCCACCACTTTTCCTAGTCCAGATCGACCCTGAACATCTCATTTAGTCTGCTCTGCCCCCCACCCCCTTTAGCAGAGTGAATGTTAGAGCTGCTAAGTTTCCCCTTTGGGGTAGATTGTCTCATCCCTGATTATTGTCCCGTTGAGTTGGGGATGTGCTGAAAAACATTTATTTTCTCTGCCCTTTCTTGTTCGTATAAACGGAATAAAACAGAGTCTAAAAGAGCTGGAGCAGGGAGAGTAAAAAGCTCAATTTCAACCTCTGGTTTATTTGAGCATGATGGGGGTGAGGCCAAGAGATTTCTTCCTTCTGCCTCAGTATCAGGGTCTGCCTTCGACACCACGGTGTCTGTCCCAGCGTTGGAGCGTTCATCCGCTCCCCGTTCTATCCCTACCACTCCCAGACTGTTCGTATTCCACAGCGTTCTCCGCTCGCCATGCTTAGGAACCACACTCTGATTTCTTGGATCCTAAAGCAGACTCTCAAGGGCCGGGAACGAAATGGGACCTGGAGAGGGAATGTAATGAATCCCACAGCGGGGGTGATCATCCTGAGGATAAATCCCAGTTGCCATCTATTGGTAAAAGTAGCTGTGGGCTTCTGTCTGCCATGCGCAGATTATTTGCTGATGGGAAGGATGCTAGTTTAGCTTTCTTTCTCTGCGATGATGCTAAAACTTTCGTCAATAACAGAGCCAAATAATGAGAGAGATAGGAAATATCCTGTGAATGTCGGGAGAAGCCCTCCTTAAATCAGTGGTTCTCAACCAGGGGTACACTTACCCCTGGGGGTACACAGACGTCTTGCAGGGGGTACATCACCTCATCTAGATATTTGCCTAGTTTTACAACAGGCTCCATGAAAAGCACTAGCGAAGTCAAGACAAACTAAAATTTCAGACAGACAATGACCTGTTTATACCGCTCTATAGACGACACACTGAAATGTAAGAACAATATTTATATTTCAGTTGATTTCTTTTATAATTCTATGGTAAAAATGAGACAGGAAGCAATTTTTCAGTAATAGTGTCTGTGACACTTTTGTATTTTTACGTCTGATTTTGTAAGCAAGTTATTATTAACCTGGGGGTAGGCAAGACAAATCAGACTCCTGCCAGGGGTACAGTGGTTGGGAAAGGTTGAGAGTCACTGCTTTACATTACAAAGGATGACACGCAAATTCGTGAAGCGTTCCATATTTTTTCCCTTCGTTTGACCCTTTGATCGCACTCCTGTCCCTGTTATTTCATTAGTTGTCCCCCGGATTTATTTGGTATCCAGGTCCTGTGGATCCCCCTCTTAGGCTGGGGGGGGGATCCTTTAGCAGTGGACGGGCTTCGCCCGCCCACTTCCCGGATCCCAATTACAAAGGACTCTGAATGACACCATCAGCGGATTTAGAGGTGGGGGACGTATTCCTCCATTCCTGAGAGGCAGAGGCTGAGCAGAGCTGAGCAGGAAGGTGGGGATGTCTACAGGCCTAGCCAGCTCTGACGCCAGACTGATCTGGATTGCTGAGTCCAGAGGAAGATGAGGAGCCTGACACAGCCCAGTGGCTCACCCCATCCCCAGTGGCCATAGCATGGGCTGGGGACAATGGGGACTGTGCCAGGGATGTCCCCCAGGGGAATCAAAGCCGAGTTGGGACAGGAGCTGCTGACCCTAAAGTCACCCTCCTCTCTGGCTCCCGTTCACCCGAGCTCCCTGCGTTTTCTGTGCCTGCTTTTGTGACGGGATCCCAGCGTCTCACATGGATTAGTGACATTTTTCTCCCAGCCTTAAAAGGTCGCTGTGTCTGGTGCCTGCAGGAACCGGGACCAACAATGGGCTGGGCTGGGGCTGAAATGTGGGGTGCTGGGCTCTGAGCATTGGGTGGAAGAAGGGTGGGGGTTGCTTTTCTTTCTTCCTTTGAAATAATAAAGCAGAACTGAGTTTCTCAATGCCTCCCCCCCCCAGCCTTTTGTCTCGAATATCGATTAAACAGGGTCTTTAAAGGAGTCGGAGGCCATCTTGGAAGACACTTTGCAGTGTTATTTCTGCAACACTGAGCCCAGACTGCAGATTGCAAAACTGGGTGGGGGGAGGAGGTTGGTTTCGGGCTCTTTTCTAGCTCTGTGGGGATAATCCATCATCCGCAGGGCCAATCCCCTCTGTCATTTCCCATTCCCCTGCCTCTGGTCCAGGAAGAGTCAATCTGCCTAGGATACACCATAAAGAGGAAGGGAGAGGGGCCCTATGCCCATGGCCTTTAAGGACACAGCCCTGGGAAGCAGGAGCTAAAATCCTGCAAAAGGGGGGCAGGAAAAGCCCCTCTGCGTCCCCCTCCCTCGTTTTGCAATCACTGCACCTGGCTCTCCCCAATCTGGTGGGACTTTTATCCCCTCTCCAGGTTTCCCCCTCTGCTCTGTCTGGCAGTGCCTGTACCCGGCTCCTACCCCCAGTCCTTGATTTGGACTGTGGGCCTCTCTCCTTCCCCAAGCTGTTGCAGCCCCCCCGTGCATTCAGTTTGGCCCCTGCCCAGATTCTGTCCCTCCGCCCCCCAGGAACAGCCGGGAGCTGCTTGTCAGCCCAAGGGGGGCCAGGGCGGTGCCAGCAGATCTCACTGAGCAGCAGCCTCCGTTCACACCAGCGCGGCCAGGGGCTGGGAGCACAAAGCACCAGATTGGGAGGGGGAGGGGCAGCGGGTGACCCCGGCTCCCACCCTCGTCTGCCCCCCGCGTCTCTGTCCCAGCCCCCGGCCCGGCCCGGCCCGGCCGGGCTCCCCCCGCCCCGCACATGCCGGGAGCTGGCGGCAGCTTTCCCGGGGCAGGGAATCGCAGCCGGCTCCGCGGGGAGCAGCCCAGGGCCAAACCCGCCCCCTGCAGCCCGGTGGGAGGGCGGGTCTCTCTTACCTTCCCTCCGAGCGGGGCCCCCCCGGGGCAGGGGCCGGGCTGGGGGCTCTGCCCTGGGAGAGGCTCCCGGGGAGCAGCGGGCAGGGCCCGGCTGGAGGTTCCCCTCTCCCGGCTGCAGCCCGGGCTCCGGGCTCCCAGCACCAGCCGCCGGGGCGCGGGGATCTCGCCGGGAGCCAGAGTCCCCGCAGCGGCTGCGAGTCACTTCCTGGGCTGGGCCTGAGCCCAGCGATCGCTCCCCGCAGAGCCGCCCCCCAGCCGCTCCTGGGTCCTAGCGATAAACCGACAGCTCTGCAGCCCCCCTGCCCCAGACCCTGCCTCTACCAGTCTAGACAAGGGCAGCTTCTCTGAGCCCCCTCACACACACACGTACGCAAACTGGACCCTAAATTGCCAGTGCCTTAATCCAGCCCTGGCTGCACGGGATCCCTCCAGGGTTGGGGGTCTGGCAGGGAGGGGAGTTGATTCAGTAGCTGTTGTGTCTGGTCCCTGCTCCATCTGTCTCCGTTTTTTGGCCTAAGTCACAAGCTGCTGCTGCCTTCTCCTTTAGGATCTGGGAGCCCGAACGGAGCAGCTGCTGCTCCCCCAGCAGGGTGGGCCAGTGCAGGGGGGAGGGCACCTTCATTAAAGCCCCCTCTGTGCCCAGCTCATGTATGATTCTTGCCAACTCTCCCCCATAGCTATAAGGGAAGGTGATTCTGGCTCCTGCAGCAGGAGCAGTAGCTGGGAGACCCCCAACGAGATCCAGTGACACAGACTGGTACAAATCGCTTCCAGCTGCTGCAGGGCTTCTAGCTTCTCTTCAAACACCCCCGCCCCCCATTTAATTAGTTCTGTGTCCCTGCCACCCGCACAGCTGCTTGTCCCCCTGTCCAGCAATGAATTCTGCCTCCCCAGTCCCCACAGTTTTGCGCTCTCTCTCTCAAGTGGTGCACCAGTGATTAGGCACTTTGCACAGAGCATTTATTTAAGGACAAAAGCCTTACAGAGAAAACAGATCAATAAAACAATAACAAGTGGAAAAGCAGACTTCTGCTTCCCAGAGGTCCCCCATCAGTCCTATGGAGACCCTGGCAGGTTCTAGTCCTTCCACTCCTTCACAAGGTTTGACCTATTGATTAAAAGTTCATGTCAGTTTGTTGGCTCAAAATGAGAGTCTGTTTAAACTCACCCTTTAGACCCCAAAATTTGTTCCCAAGCTCCTGAAGCAGGTAAAATCAGGCTCAAAGGCTGGGAGTCTGTGTAACCAACCACAGGAACTTGCATTGATCTTCCCAGCTTCCCCAGAAAATCCACCCAGTGAGCCGGGTACAAACAATTACCTGTAATACACACTGAGCCATAGGTCTGTGAATATACTACAGGCCCATGTCGTCCGGCCCATCTCAAGCACACAGATCACATTTATCAAGTGGAAACAATCGCTCCCAAAGAGGCTGCGTGTATTTGCAATATCTGTCACAACGGTCATACAGGCTGAATCGAGACACCCACTCAGGATTTTCTTTCCTTAATTTCTGCCATGAAAACGTGTCACGTTCTGTACTTCAAGATGGTCCAGTTTGCAGACAGAGAGCTAGCAGGGGATCTGAAGGAACATGGGACCCTGACAGGAGCATAGAGACTAGAAAATAAGAAGCTAAACAGGACTCTGCAACAACACTGTACTCCTTGCAGAGCTATAGAGACCAGGATTGAGAGCCTCGGATTTTCTGTGAGGAAACATGGGAGTCCTTCTGAGGCATGGAGACTAATAACATAGCTCGGAGCAGCTCTACAGGAAAGACGTTGTCTTCCAGGGTCATAGAGCTTAGGGAAATGGAAGCTAGAAGAGGCTTAGCAAGAACATTGTAATCCTCCAGGGTCATAGAACCTAAGGAAATGGAAGCCAGAAGAAGTTCAGCAAGAACATTGTAATCCTCCAGGGTCATAGAGCTTAGAGCAATGGAAGTGACAAGAGGTTCAGCAAGAACATTGTAATCCTCCAGGGTCATAGAGCGTAGGGCAATGGAAGCTAGAAGAGGTTCAGCAAGAACTTCTAGGATCATAGAGAGTATGACACCACAGGCCAGAGAATCCAGTTTCTTGGGATCACAGCCATGCATCACCCTCTGGGGGACAGTTTCATGTGGGACAACAATACACAAAAGTAAGGGAAAACTCTCTCCTCATTGAAAGAGACCGGCGGGAAAGCAAAGAGCAGCTCCTCGTTGCTGAGGTCGTAAAATGACACTCGCCCCAGTTCATAGTCCAAATAGACGCCGATCTCATTGTTGTTCTTTTTGAGGGGCACATAGGTGTTGGAAGGGTTGGTGAGCGCCACACAGAGGTGATGATATTTCTGCAAACCCAAGACCCCTGTGTTGGGTTGAAAGACAATACGTCCTTTCCTCCTCACAGACTCGCTGGCCACACCCACAGTCCAGAACATCCCATCCACCTCCACCTCCCAGTAGTGTCTCCCCGAGGTGAATCCCTCACAGCCCAACACGCAGGGATCAGTGTCAAATCTCTCCAAACGGTCAGGCATCTCCTGACTTGGTTTTCCCCATCTGGCACCTTTCAGGTCCTCAGAGAGGATGAGTTCAGGACCTGCCGTGTCTGGATCCAGAGTCACATTCACTGCATAACAGAGAGAGAATCAGAGTGTTAGACGCTGATCTCAGCACTGGGGGGAAGGTTGGACAGAATATTCAAGAGGTTAGACATTAGTACAAAATAATCATCTACAATTGGGTGCACTCAGTGTCCCCCTGACAACAACTTCTTTTCTCTAGGTGAAAGGTAAGTCAGAAAGTCCACACCAAACCCTTGGATGTTAAAGGCCTAGCAGGGATGCTGGAGCTATCAACGACCAATGTTAAAAAACTGGGACATTCGGAGGTGAGGATAAAGCAAGGTACAAGGACATGTTTTAAAAGCAAGAAACATTGAAAAGATAGGACATTATTAGTGATGGTCATTCAAATAACCTTAACTCTGCCCTCTAGGTACTCACTCTTCCATCTTTCCCTTTTTCTATCCAGGGGAGCTGAAACAAGTGGGGGTGCTGAGAGCCATTGAACCAAACTGTAAACCCTGTATATGATGGAAACCACTTAAAGACAGGGGGTATGGCAGCACCCCTAATTCTAGCACCTATGCTTCCATCCCTCCTGGTTCTGTAAAATGTGTCTTTTTAGGATCAAGTATACAAGTTCTTAGTCCATAGCCATAGACGGGGTAGAAGTGAACTCTGCACTGAGAGTGGAGTTAAGAAAATGAGAACAATAAACCATCATTTTAAAAGCTCCTCTCATGCATACACAATAATACATAATAAATATGCTGCCTCACTGCACCCACCAGTTTTGTACACCTGTGAACTAGACACAGGAGGTAAGTTTACATAGACACGCCAGCTCCATGCACGAGGACCCTTGTGCAACTCTTGGGGCATAGGATCTTTGTAAATTAGGTGGGATAATTGACGCCCACGTACCGTGATGAATCAGAAATGGGCAAAGCAGCTCGTCTCCTGTGGACTCCACATGGTCCTAAAGAAGGGTTAATGTGACCAAACCATTTTAGATTTTAGCATCCCCCATCCTCAGAGGTTTTGAACAACAGGTTAGAGAATGCCTGTCAAGAGTAGCCTGCTTCAGTGCGGAGGTGTGTGGACTAGATGACAACTTCATCTCCTTTCCAGCCCCACATTTCTATGAGTCTATAAGCAAGTCTTTGTGATGAGAAGAGAATGAAATTTTTACCCTGTAAAGGTTTTTTTTTGTGTGGTGGTGGTGGGGTTATATCTATACATAAAACTGACAGTTGTCAAAACCTAAAAACATTTTGGGGTTCGAATTTTCAATAATAAAATAAAACAAAACTAATGACAGTGGGGTGTGTGTGTAAATTTCCATTTAGTTGAAAAGGCATTTTCTCACCTTCTTGCCTCCCCCCAAAAACAAAATCACTGATAATTATCAACCAACTAAAGTTCTGGAAAGAAGCTTAAACTTACAAGACACCCAAATATTTCCTAGCGTGGATGGATACAGATATTGCAGAGTCTTTCATACAGTGGGGGAAGAGTTAAGATTGTCATCAGCATAGGCGCTGACTCCGTGGGTGCTCTGGGGTTGGAGCACCCACGGAAAAAATTGGTGGGTGTGCTGCACCCACCGGCAGCCAAGCTCCCCGCCCCCCGCTCAGCTCACCTCCACCTCTTCCCTGAGTGTGCCGCAATCCTGCTTCTTCTCCCAGCGCACAGCTGTTTTGCGGCATAATGAGCTGTGGGAGGGAGGGGGGAGGAGTGGAAACGCGGCACACTCAGGGGAAGAGGTGGGGAAGAGGCAGGGCCAGGTGGGAATTTGGGGAAGGAGTCCAACAGGGGCAGGGAGGGGGTGGAGTTGGGGCGGGGACTTTGGGGAAGGGGTTGGAATGGGAGTGGGGCAGGGCCGGGGGTTGAGCACCCACTGGTGCCAGGAGAATTTGGCGCTTACGGTCATCAGTGACCTGACCTGAGAAATTCCTTGCTTTCACATGCTGTGTATTTTTGCAATGTAATTCTTATAATGTCCTGCCCAAATGTCTGCAGTGTTGTAGCAGTGTCAGTCCCAGGATATTAGAGAGACAAGGTGGGTGAGGGATTATCTTTTACCTGAAGAAGAGCTCCGTGTAGCTCGAAAGCATGTCTCTCCCACCAACAGAAGTTGGTCCAATAAAAGATATGACCTCCCCCACCTTGTCTCTGCCCTAATGTATTTATTTAAACAATATTGTATCTTTGTGTTTCTTGGCCCCTTCATCCTGAATTTCCTAGTTGCTAATGAGTGCTTTTTTTAAAAATCCCAATGTTCCTGCAAAGTGCTGATTTGTCCTTTCAATTTCGAGGTAAGAAAGTTCATTGGTCAGGAGATTTCCCCTTGTTGTTATATTGCACCACCACGTCTGCTATAGTTAAGGTTTAGACCAGCTTTCTGTTGACTTCTAAGTGCTCTAAAATCCATGTAGTTACTCAGTTTGCCTGGAAATTTGCTCCGCTTCAAGGGGGCTCTGGCTAAGGTCAATGATCCAAATTTGGGGTCATTTGACCTAGCGGTTAGAATCACAGAACCATAGGGTTAGGAAGGGTCATCTACTCTAACGCCCTGCCCAGATGCAGGATTTGTTGTTTCTAAACCATCCAAGACTCATGGCTCTCCAGCCTCCATTTGAAAACCTCCAGTGAAGGAGCTTCCACAACCTCCCTCGGCATCTGTTCCATTGTCCTACTCTTCTTACAGTTAGAAAGATTTTCCTGAGATTTAATCGTGTCCTGCACTCTGTGGCAAGAGAGCAACTTTTCTCCATCTTTTTTATGGCAGCCTTTCAAGTATTTGAAGACCGCTACCATATCCCCCCTTAATCTCCTCTTTTCCAAACTAAACATACCCAGTTCCTTCCTCCTTTGCTCAGATGGCTGCATTCCACCCCTTTGATCATCTTTGTCGCTTGCCTCTGGCTGCTTTCCAGTATCTCTACATCCTTTCTATACACTGGCGACCAAAACTGGACACAGTCCTCCAGCTGAGCCCTAACCAGCGCCAAGCAGAGTGGTACTGTCACCTCCCATGACGTGTAAGGCGTGTAACACTGACAGACACCGGGCGTCAGCAGGCGGGATCGAACCTGGGACTTCTGGAGCTTAGTGCACGAGCCTCTACAGCCTGAGCTAAAAAACAACCGGCTGTTAGCTAAGGCTGTAGAGCAAACTCATTAATCGCTCCCTCTAGGGAGGAGCCGCAATAGCAAATCTCCTACAGCTCCACAAGTGCTAAATCGATACCGATTAATCTGCATCCCACTTGCAGCAAGGATCATGCTTCCGAACAGCGTTAGGTGCCTGCTGACTCTGTGGCATCTCCCTGCAAGTAGATTTCCGAGCAACCTGCCTTGGTCTCACCTCAACCAGGCAGTGAATGTCTCAACGTCGCTTCACCACAAAAACCAAAAAACACCGGTCAAACAACCACAACAGGAAATACGGTACAACTTTGAGCTCATATATAGAGGCAAGGGCGGGTGCTCATTGGATGAAAAGAGGAATCATTGGTAAGTGTTTGAGGGGGAGGACAGGGATTGGGCAGGGGAAGGAGGCCTGCACTCTCTTTGGGCAGTACGTTACCGCTTTGCTGGACCTGATAGGAAACAGGCACCAGTGAAAGCCCGGGCTCCAGTTCTCCGCTAGAATCGGTGCCGCTAGATGAGACAGAACACCACACCCAGGAGGTGTGTGGGTTACACATGTTATGCTGCTCGTTAATGCAGCCTAAAACTGCATTTGCTTTTTTTTTTTTTTTTTGCAACAGCATCGCATTGCAGACATGCTGAGGCTGCGATCCACCACGGCTCCCAGATCCTTCTCTGCAGTGCTGCTGTCAAGCCAGTTATCCCCCATTCGGTGTTTGCGCATTTGGTTTTAAATCCCTATGCGCAGCACCTTACACTTATCTTGGCTAAATTTTGTGTTGTTGTCTGAGATATAACACAGCCCCTACAAATGGTTTCCCTAAAGCTCATGAAAACGGCTTTTGGGAACAGCTGTAAATGCCTTGCTCAGAGGCATTTTAACCAGGGTATTTCCCTAGTTAAAAGCTACGGTGAGGAGCTACCAATGCCATTTAATCATTGCTGTCTAACTCCCTTTGTAACCCTTTTAAGGCTCCTAGGGCTGGGCCTGGAACCCTTAGCACCCTTGTAATACAGCCTGGATAAGGGCCGGGACCCTTTATGTGTTTGCCCTATCATCGTAGCTCCCCTCTTCCCATGTAAGGCTTACTGGGCTAAACGCAGGGTAACCCACATGGGTCTAAGTGTGGGTCTTTGTCCCAGTCTACCTCTTCTCCCAAGACCCCTGCCCCACCCCTTCCTGTCCCTTCCCCCCCTCTTCCTGCCCCGTTCCACCCCACCCTTGCTCCTCCCACCCAGCACCTCCTGCCTGCCACTGGACAGCTGATCTGTGGTGGGCTGGAGGCACTGGGGGGAAGGGGAGGAGCCGATCGGCAGGGCCCACCAGTGGGTGCTGAGCACCTGCCAGAGGGTGCTGAGCACCCACTATTTTTTTCCCATGGGACTTGGGTGCTCCAGCCCCATAACATCCATGGAGTTGGTCCCTATGGGAAACTCAGCAGAACCTTCAGTGGCTGGGGAAAGTGCACTGCACCCTGATGAAATTTTGGAGCAGGGATTTGTGTGTCTTACCTTTGAATTGCCTCAGAGTTTGGAGGTTGAGGGAGAACTCCGGCGTCCTCTGCCTCGGTTCAGGAGAAAGAGCCATTGCAGCATGCACCTTCCCCTTCTCACGGCTAGAGGAGGAAAAACACTAACCACACATTTATTACTCTTCACCTGATTGCTCAGATCAAGTGGCAGCAAAACATCAAGGGGCCCATTTGTGCCTGGACCTGGCATGGGTCTGCAAGTTCTCTCGAGGCTGGGGAAGTGATGGGGAAAGACCCACAAAGGTGGGCAGCGTGGAGCAGTGGAAAGAGCACTGGACTGGGAACCTGGACACCAGGCTTCAGCTCCCTGTGTCCTGCAACACACTTGCTGGGTGACTAAAGGCAAATTACTTCCCCTCCCACCTTCTGTCTGGCTTGTCTGGACTGTACATTCTCCAGGGCAGGGACTGTCTCTTTGTGTGTATGCAGTGGGGTCCTGATCTCAGCTGGACTTATAGGTACCATGATAATATAAATACTAGGGAGTCTTTTCACCGCCATTCCCACACAGGGACTAGGCAAAATGTCCATCCCTGACAGCTGCTTATTCCCTGTTTTATAGCTTTCCAGCTCTTTGGGTGCATATTTGAAAGCTTCTCTCTGCAGCTGAAAGAGCTAGAAATTGCCTTAAAAAAAGAAGTGGCTGAGATTTTAATGTAATCACATGACTCCAGGAACTGGGGCTTTAAGAAAACAAACAACAAAAACCCACCATAAAATATCACCACCCAGATGTGTAACATTGGAGATGTGTCTTTCAGCCAGTGCCCAAGCCCCTGGCCTGCATTGTGAAGTCTGAGGGGGAGTGAGAAGGAGCCACGTACCTGTTCAGTGTGTCTCTGGCCTCCTATAAATCAGAGGGAGAGGAAAGGGAGTTCAGCTCCACACGCCACATACTAGGGACTCCTCCAGCTCCAGAATAAGCTTATTTTTTGATCACTACTTCAGTTTCACAGTTACCAATAGCTGGTCAATTCAGATCTATGTCTTTAATCTCTCAGGTCTAATCGTTAACGCTCTGAACCCCAGCAATTAGGGCTTGGGGAACCTTTTCTCCACCGCTAAAATAGAAACTCCCGATTTATGAACCGTAGGAAGTCAAAAAAAGGGTCACCAGATAGCAAGTGTGAAAAATCAGGACGGGGGTGGGGGGCAATAGGCCTCTATATAAGAAAAAGCCCCAAATATCAGGACCGTCCCTATAAAATCGGGACATCTGGTCACCCTAAGTCAAATCACCCAGGGAACAGAAACAAAACCATGTGGTTTTGGCGTCCAATCACAAGGCATCAGCAGCAAACCATGAACATTGCATAGGCATAGTAGCAGCCTGTGTATGAGCAAGCCATACCCCACCTGCAAACTAAAGGCCCAGGTGCACGCTCAAACCTGAGTTTCGGAGTCACTTACAAATTTGTGCCTGCAACTGGAGCTGCAGGAATTGACATGCTGGGCTGACGCCTCGGTCAAAATGTGTCTCACAGAGATAAATGCACTGGGACCACGCCCTCCCGCAGGAAGCTGGCCCGGTCACTTGGAACTGCACTGAGATCTGGTGTGACACATGGATCCAGGCAGAGACACCGGTGCCAGCTGATATTGTGTGTGTGTGTGGGGGGGGGGGGGCGCAGAGTGAGGGCACCTGGCTTCCTCAGTGAGCATGATCAGTACAATCCAAGCAGCAAATCTGGGGTGGGGCATGTGACCCCACATTCCCCCACCCTCTATGCATTGCCTCTGGATGCAGAGGCTAAAATTAATTTACACAAACTTTTAGTCAAAGTCCTAGCAGACAACTAATTTAGCTGACAAAGAAAAAACAAGATCCAATAATGGGAAGTTAAAGCTGGACAAATTCGGACTGGAAACAAGGTGTTAGTTTTTAAACATGAGGGTAATTAGCCACTGGAACAATTTACTAAGGGGGGTGGTTGATTCTCCAACCCTGGTAATTTTAAAATTAAGACCAGATTATTATTTTTCTTCTGAAAACCATGCTCTAGCTCAAACAGGAATTATTTCAGGGAAGTTCTATGGCCTCTATACCAGAAGTCAGACTTGATGATCCCAGTGGTTCCTGGGTATTTATGACTCCATGGAGTTTAAATAACAAACAGATTCATAAAAAGCACAGCTCCCGTATGTAGATAATTCGCGACTGGAAAAAACACGGGTTACATTTCTAGATGTTGAATAATTCAATCTGCTCTCCATTAATGATGTCTCAAAAATAGCAGAGATGTTGGATTCCTTCCCCAACAAAGAAACAGAAGAAGTTGGAGCAGTTAGCACAGAAGTAAAAATACCTATGGATAAAGAACAGACAAAAGGCTATATAGGAAACATGAGGATATAAAAAACAACCAAGGCAGATAGCAGGAGCCCAAAAGACATTGTTCCTACTGTAGTCAAGAGGAGACTGGCTATTGACTGCAAAGAGAGAAGGATCAGTTTGAAGGGAACTGAACAACAAACTTACTGCATAATGCAGAGTGTTTCTAAATTCTAGACTGCTCGGGAGACATCGGGAGCTGGTTTTCTTTTTATCGGTGAAAGAGTGATCCTAGCAATTACCATCCCATCATTCTAGCTCTGATAAGATAAACAATGCAGCAAATATTTAGAGATTTGTTGTAAAATGTCTTGCAGCAGATCTCACATTTAGTTACTTGATTTCTACTGGTGGTTTTTATTATAATACGTTTCACTCACCAGCAATTTCCTACCTCGCACTGCTCAGCGGCTGTCTCTGTGGAAGCTGTAACATGGTTTCTTTGTGCGCTGTGCAGATCACATAGGTGAGCTGTTGGCCCCTCTTCAGACAACAAAGCAAATTCCTCCTGATGGTTCTCACACACCCTCTTTGCTTCTGGATTTTTGGCCGATTGCAGAATGAACGGTCTGCCCAGTTCTACAACGCTCCTCCGGGTTTCTCTGCACAGCAGAGAGACGTTTCTAGGTGATTCTTCCAAGCACTGGCTAATGCAGGCACAGCAAACGTTCTCTCTCCAACCGTGAACACTGGACCTTATAAGCAAGTCACAAGGATAGTGCAAGCGGCCTCCTATTGGAGAGGTTCGGCTGGATTCTCAGAAGCCACCGCTCCTACTGTGTAAAAGAGAGAAGATCAGCTGCAATCTCCTCATCACAGACATGGCTTGAGTCTTATCCAGCAACTGGATGTTTCTTTCCCCGCAAGCTTGTTTGTGCGTGTTATTTTGGTGTTTGCTTCAGGGTTTTCTTTAGGCTGCAACGTGTAATTTTGTCAGCGGGCCAGAGCCAGAGCCAGCAGAGAAACGAATGAAAAGTGGATCTGAAAAGCCAAATCTTCCTTTGCTGTAACTCAGTGGTTCTCAAGCAGGGGTACGCGTATCTCTGGGAGGACGCGGAGGTCTTCCAGGGGGTACATCAACTCATCTAGCTATTTGCCTAGTTTTACAACAGGTTCCATAAAAAGCACTAGCGAAGTCAGGTTCCATAAAAAGCACTAGCGAAGTCAGGACAAACTAAAATTTCATGCAGACAATGACTTGTTTATACTGCTCTGTAGACCGTACACTGAAATGTCAGTACCATATTTATATTCCAATTGCTTTATTTTATAAATATATGGTAAAAATGAAAAAGGCAGCAATTTTTCAGTAATAGTGAGACTGTGACACTTTTGTATTTTTGTGTCTGATTTTGTAAGCAAGTTGCTTTTAAGTGAGGTGAAACTTGGGGGTAGGCAAGACAAATCAGCCTCCTGAAATGGGTACAGTCGTCGGGAAAGGTTGAGAGCCACCGCTGTAACTCCTCTGACATTAATGAAGATCCACAAGGGACAGAGGCAATGCATGGAGGGGGGAATGAGGGGTCAACTGCCCGCCCCCAGATTTACTTCTTGGCTTGTACTGAGCATGTTCACACAGAATGAGCATGCTCAGTAATACCACAGAAGCCAACTGCCCTCACTCTGTCCCCTCACTCCACCCCTCCTCCCCACTATTGGCAGGCACAGGGTCGTCTCTGATTTATGAATCAGATCCCAAGGGTATGTTTACACTGCAGCTGGAGGTTTCATTTCAGTTGCCAGTTAACAAATCGCTGGCCCATTGTCTGGGCCTAGCCCCAGTCAGGTAGTGGTCAGCCCCACCTGGATCTTTCTGCAAAGAAAACACCCTTTCCCCCACCACCTCGTTAACTCTTCACTACATAGGGGAAACTGAGGCATGGACATTGTTCAATGAAATATTATTTAAATTTCCAATCCTTCGCACCCTCACCTCAGCCCGCTGGGACTGTCCCCTCTCCCCAGCTCTGGTCAGACTGGAATTGTCAGAGTCGCTTAGGGGAGTTGGCCGCCTGCCTCCCGTGGCCTAGCCTCCTTAGAGGCCTTGGAAAATTCCAGTCTTAATCATCCTATCCTCCCCATTCCTGCCAGCCTCTCAGCAGCCCCCCCCCAAAGCCAGCTGCTTCACTTAAACTCCAGCCAGCCACCCTCCCACCAGACCCTTTGCCCCCATGTCAGTCAGCCAGGAGTCCCAGGGAGCCAGGCCCTTCACCCCTGTGTTAGCCTGGTCCCCAACAGCTGGATCCCTCACCCCATCTTCTGACCAGCCCTGCCCCTTCCCCAGCCGGGCCCATCACCCCCACTCTGGCCAGCAACTGGGAACCATGGGGCAAGGGGAAGGCGGTGAGGGGAAGGAGGGAGGGGTGACATCTGATGAGGCACCTGGGTGCAACCGGGGGAAGTGAACTGGGACTGGCTGTACCATGGAGTGTGGGGCATGGTGGTGAGGGGACTGTGTGAAGAAGGGACTTGGGTGGGGGAGTGGAGTTTGGGAATGGGGGAGAAGCAAGGACCTGAGGGAGAAAGTGGAGCTGGAAATGGGGGACGGTGAAAGCTGAGCACTTGTATTTGTCGGGCCTTGTGAAACTTAGCCGGGTGTAGGACCCAGGGGGTAAATTCTCTGGCCTGTGTAATGCAGACAACACGATCTAATGGTTCCTTCAGCCTCTAAAATCTACTAATCAATTTTGTCAATAGGGCAGGGCACAAAACTGCTCTCAAAACTTTTTTCCCCTCCGTGGCACATTTGGATTTTCTTCTAAATAACATTCTTGACAAAAAGGGTCTGCTCTCCTCGGAAATTTTCAGTTGTTTATTGGGAAACCAACCCCCTGAATACGTTCAATTGAAGCTGAAAATGTTCAGTGGAAAACCAAATGTTCAGGGGCTTTTCAGCTGCTGAAACTTCGTTTTTGGATGAAAAGTCAAACTTTTGCTCAGAAACCACCCACCCCCCCCCCGCTGCCACATACTCCACCCACCAATCCTTGCTGAGTTTGCTGTGTTCCCCATTGGTGTTCACGTCACAGTCCCCTCTGGTGAACTATATTTATGTTTCCTCCCCACAAATGCTCAATAATATAGATAGGGGGAGAGGAGGCACAATAGAAAATAAGGGTATTTAAAAATATGGATTTTATTCTTACTTAGGTAAATGCGAATCCTAAAATAAACACAAGTTGGCTTTGAACGCTGAACATTTGCGTGAGCAGCAAGGACAACAGAGAAAGCTGCCGTTTGATCTCACCTAACCAGGGAACATGGGACAATCCTTTGGCGATTTCCACCTTCTGAAGCCAAGCAAGGCTCCCATCCTGCAACACCCACAATCTACATGGGTGGTGCCATGGGCCTGCACAGACCCCCCACTTAAATCACTGCTGATGTAGCAATGGGATGGGTGTTTAGAATGGTACCTAATATTTTCAAAAGCACCGAAGTGACTTCAAAGCCAGAGTCCCGTCGACTTCCATTGAGTCCTGGGTTCTCAAGAGTCACTCATCTCCTTTGAAAATGGGATTTAGGCACTTCTGAAAATCCTACCCCAAGTCTATGAATCCTCTGAATGATTCTCAATGTTTCTTGTGTAGCTATCATTGCCTATTACATGTATTAGGATAACCCCAACTGAGATCAGGGCCCCGTTGTGCCCCGTGTTGCACAGACACCCAGCGAGAGACAGTCCCTGCCCCAGCTTAGATCAGGGCCCCGTTGTGCAGGGCGCTGCACGGACATACAGCGAAAGACAGTCCCTGCTCCAAAGAGTTTATATTCTTCCTCATCCCTTTTTCTCCTGTACATTTTCCTCTCATATTTCCTTCTATAAACATCCTCTCCAGTTACTCTTTGTTTCCCCCACCTCTAATCCCTCTGATCTCTCTCCTCTTAGAAAAGATCCTCTCCCACTCATCCAGGGAGGGATTTGTCCCCTCATTCTGACCCCTGTATGCTGCAGTATAGGGGGTCATGATCTGTCTGCGCTATGAACTGTCTGCAGACATTAGAGAAACTGCGCTCTCTCTGGGCTCCAGTAAGAGGTGGCGTGGGCAGTCAGATACTGCTGTGAAGCGAGTGTTAGAAGCTGGGTCGGACAGACCAGAATTTCACCAGCTGGCTGTGCTGAGATTTTAGGGAGATGCCAGATCCAGGCCCCGGGGGGTGGCGGGGAGGGGTACTTGATCTCACGGCTCAGTGACACATTTTGACCTGGGAGCTTTCGTCTGCCACCCAGCAGAACGGGAAGATTCTCCCAGCAAAAGCGACTTCAGTGAAAGTGAAGATCTGAGTGTTGTTCTCAGCATTGAAAAATGCCACCTGCCGCCTTTTGCAGTCCAGGGCGACCCTGACCTTCCTGGGTCTCCTATCCAGTGGCAGGCTTGTCCAAGGAGAAGTGAGAGCCACATACTGAATTGGGTTCAGCTGCCCCACAGCCCAGATCCCCTCCTCTGGCTCCAGGCTGACCCCTCCCTTTCTCCTCACAGACTCTCTGGCCACCCCCACGGCCCAGCTGCTCCCGTCCACCTCCACCTCCCACCAATGTCTCCCCGCGGTGAACCCCTCACAGCCCAGCACACAGGGAACAGGATCAAATCTTCTGAAGTTGTCGGGCACGTCCTGCCGTGCAGGTCCCCATCTCACGCTTGTCCCATCCTCAGACAGGATGAGATGAGGATGAGCCGTGTCTGGATCCAGGGTCACGTGTGCTGGGGGTTGGGTGGGGAGGGAAGAGAGAATTAGAGTGTTAGGAGCACTCCCTTAAATCCCTTTGAAAATTCCTGCCTTTAATGGAAAAGGAAAACCTTCAGCTGCACAAGATGGGATAACTGGCAGGTCACCAACTTTATCACTGATGTAGGCTCAGCCAGCAGGTGGTGGGAGGAGCCGGAGTGTCTATTCCTGAGTCCGTAGCAAGGTCCTGCCACCCAAACTACATTTTACTGTTAAGGCATCTAAACTGCTCCCCTTCTTCTCTTTGCTGGTTTATCAGCTTCCTTTTCACAACTTCCCCTTGACAGCACCCATTGGATGCTACTGGCAGAGGAGCCCAAGTTGTACCATTGTGACCTCATTTGCTGACTCATTTCAACCAATGGGACTGCAAAGGAACTGGAGAGCGTGAATGATGACGGGCTGAAATACTTCTGATGTCACAATGCTCCTCGGCCTGCAGTACCAAATGGGCCCTGAGCGGAAATCAGGATTTTCTGGTGTTTGGGTTTTTTGACTGCCATCAAAATCAGTAGGGTTCTTCCCATCGATGTCCGGAAGATTCCCTGAAATTTTAGAACTGATTGGACATGGTCTTCAAAAATTATCACATTACAGATAGAGAACTGCCACTGACTGCAAGGCCTCCCCTCTGTCACTAAAAAATGTACCTAAGAACATAAGAGTGGCCAGACTGGGTCAGACCAATGGTCCATCTAGCCTAGTGTCCTGTCTGCCGGCAGTGGCCAATGCGACGTGCTTCAGAGGGAATGAACAGAACGGAAAAAATGATTGAGTGATCCTCTGTTGTCCAGTCCCAGTGTCTGGCAGTCAAAGGCTTAGGGACACCCAGGGCATGTGGGTTGCATTCCTGATCATCTTGGCTAACAGCCATTGATGGACCTATCCTCCAGGAATTTATCTAATTCTTTTTTGAACCCAGTTTTACTTTTGGTCTTCACAACATCTCCCGGCAATAGTTCCACAGGATGACTGTGCCTTGTCTGAAGAAGTACTTTCTTTTCCTTGTTTTAAACCCACTGGTTATTATTTTCATCAGGTGACCCCTGGTTCTTGTGTTATATGAAGGGGTAAATAACACTTCCCCGTTCACTTTCCCCACACCAGTCATGATTTTGTAGACCTCTATCATATCCCCCCTTAGTCATCTCTTTTCTAAGCTGAACAGTTCCAGTCTTATTAATGTCTCCTTGTCTGGCAGCTGTTCCATACCCCTCATCATTTTTGTTGCTCTTTTCTGAACCTTTTCCAATTCCAATGTATCTCTTTTGAGATGGGGCAATCAGAACTATATGCAGTATTTAAGGTGTGGGCATACCATGGATTTATATAGTGGCATTATGATATTTTCTGTCTTATTATTTATCCCTTTCTTAATGATTCCCAACATTCTGTTCGCTTTTTTGACTGTCGCTGCACCTTGAGCAGATGTTTCCAGAGAACTAGCCACAATGACTCCAAGATCTCTCTCTTGAGTGTTAACAGCTAATACAGACACCATCAGTTTGTGTGTATAGTTAGGATTATGTTTTCCAATGTGCATTATTTTGCATTTATCACCATTAAAGTTCATCTGCCATTTTGTTGCCCAGTCACCCAGTTTTGTGAGATCCCTTTGTAACGCTTCGCGGTTAGCTTTGGACGTAACTATCTTGACTAGTTTTGTATCATCTGAAAACTTTGCCACCTCATTGTTTGCCCTTTTTCCAGATAATTTATGACTATGTTGAACAGCACCAGTCCCAGTACATATCCTTGAGGGACTCCGCTGTTTACCTCTCTCCATTGTGAAAACTGACCGTTTATTCCTACTCTTTGTTTCCTATCTTTCAACCAGTTACTGACCCATGAGATGTACAAGAGATATAAATCCTGTTGTCTCGAGCATAAGCCAACCACTAACTGATGGGGATGCGGGTCAGGAAGTCATTTTTCCCTATGGGCATCTTATTCCAAATTTCCACTGTGGAGCAGGGTTGGCAGCCTTCCTCGGTAGCCACTACCAGCAGCTTTAATCAGAGACTGGATACAGGACCAGATGGACCACTGGTCCAATTGGATACTGGACTAGAGAGTCCATTTATCTGACCAGTTAAGAGAATTCATGAGTTCCTGGAGGAAACCATGGGGCTTTCTTGCTTAGAGCAGAATGGTGTTTGAGAAATGGTGTGATTCACTGACTGTACTGACTAGCTCTTTAGGATCTTATATCACTTCTTAAATGCCCAAAACTAGAGTCCCCTTTTCAGGTGGAATTTCAAACTCCCCCTTCTCCTAAATCCCCACCCATTGATTTAGACAGAGGAGAATGAAATGGGGTTGGGTTGGGAAAAAGTTTTAAATAGGGAAGGAGGATTAGGATTAACTCTGAATTTCCTGGGTTTATAATAGTTGGTTTTGGGATCATTGCAACATCCCTGTAATGTTTTTTTTTTTTTATCCCAAATTAACCCCATCTTAAAGGTTTCTTTTTGTTTTGTTTTTGTTTTTAGCCTGGGTATAATACAGTACTCAATTACACCATCAGTCCCCAAAATTTACCTTTGTCCAACTGGCTCGACCCCCCTCTACCCCTGGTCCCGCCCCAACTCCACCCCTGCCCCGCCCCCTCCCACCCCCATTCCAATCCCTTCCCCGAAGTCCCCGCCCCAACTCCAGATAGAGTCACTAGTAGGAGAAAAAGTGAAACACTTTAAATGTAGCTGCTGTCAACGTTACGAAGATATTTCTGTTGTTAACAAACATAACTGCAGATTCATTTCATGTAAAATAGGGCAGACATAAATGCAAAGAAACCAGCAAAGCTCTTTCTAGTCAGACAATGTTGATAAAGCTAAATGGTATTTAGGATTACTTAACTTGTTTGATCCCCGCACCTCTGTCAAGTGCAAGGCAGCATGAACTAGTGGCAAGGGTACTGGATCAGAGTCAAGAATCCGGGGTACTATTTCTATCTCTGCCACTGACCAACTGCGTGACCTTGGGAAAGTCACTTCTAGAACCGGTTGGAAAATTTTCCTTGAAATAGTTTTCTGTCAGAAAATTCCATTTTGAGTAAATTGAACTTTTTAAAATTGTATTGATTTTGATGAAATTTTGTTTTGGGGAGGGAAAAGTAGGGGGCTGGAAATATCCCATTTCAACATTTTCAAAACAAAAAGTTTTGATTTTTCATTTTGAAATTACTTCTTGTTCTCCCTTTTATATTAAAATAAAATAAAATGAGTCAAACACAAAATGAAACATTTCAAATGTATTGAAACAAAACACTTCAACTGACCCAAAATGAATATTTTTGTTTCTGCAATGTCATTTTAAAAAATTGCTTTTCATCCTGATTCATTTTTAAAAATTTAACTGGTTTAATTTTTATTAAGTTTTGTTTTGGGGGAAAAAAATAAAAGGTCTGGAAATGTCAACATGACCCATCTCAACGTTTTCAGAACAAAAAGTTTTCATTTTGCATTTCAAAGCCACTTTTTGTTTCAAAATATTTGTCATTTTATATTTGAAATAAATGAAATAAAAAACGGGTCAAGATCAGAATGAAACATTTCAAACGTATTGAATCGAAACGTTTCAGTTGATCCCCCCAGTGATTTTTTTCCCGGAATTTCATTTCACAAAAAACAAAATAATATTAATAATAAAATCCTGCTTTTCATCCTGATTCAGGACAATTTTTCCCCCATAATCCCAACTTTCTTCATGGGATGGAAAATCCATTTTCTGACGAGCTCCAGTCACTTCCCCTGTCTGTATCTTTTCCTTCTTCCCTTCCTATTCTTTGTCAGTCTCATCCAGTGGGCTGAGGTTTCCAAACGGATCTGGGTGCCTAACCCCTTTAGGCCTCTTTGAAACCCCTTGTTTTAGGGCTTGTCTGCACTACAGTGACACAGTCGCAGCATTGCAGCTACCCTGCTGTAATGTCGTACTGGAGACACATTACAGTGATGGAAGGGGTTTTTCCATAGATGTAGTTAATACACCTCCCTGCTAGGTTGATGGAAGAAGACCAGGCAGCTTAACTGCATCCTTCAGGGGTGTGGATTTTTCACATCCCTGAGCAACGTCGCTAGGTCAACCTAAATTTTGGGTGTACACCAGGCCCCAGACTATGAGCTCTTTGGGGCAGAGACTGTTTTTCTCTATGGCTATGTCTACACTTGCAGTGAAGCGTAGAGTCTGGGTATACGTAGCCGTGCAGATGGGGAGACACAGCTTAGGTGACTTGAATACAGACACGCCAGATACACCCAGGGGATACACCCTACATGAGTCTCTACGTGTCCAACCAGCAGCCCCCATGTCTACACTGTACAGTGCTAATAAACAATGGTCACATAAACACCACCCTATACCGGAAACCTACTGACCGCTATTCCTACCTACATGCCTCCAGCTTTCACCCTGACCACACCACACGATCCATCGTCTACAGCCAAGCTCTGCGATACAACCGCATTTGCTCCAACCCCTCAGACAGAGACAAACACCTACAAGATCTCTATCAAGCATTCTTACAACTACAATACCCACCTGCGGAAGTGAAGAAACAGATTGATAGAGCCAGAAGAGTTCCCAAAAGTCACCTACTACAGGACAGGCCTAACAAAGAAAGTAACAGAACGCCACTAGCCGTCACCTTCAGCCCCCAACTAAAACCCCTCCAACGCATTATTAAGGATCTACAACCTATCCTAAAGGATGACCCAACACTCTCACAAATCTTGGGAGACAGGCCAGTCCTTGCCTACAGACAGCCCCCCAACCTGAAGCAAATACTCACCAACAACCACATACCACACAACAGAACCACTAACCCAGGAACCTATCCTTGCAACAAAGCCTGTTGCCAACTGTGCCCACATATCTATTCAGGGGACACCATCACAGGGCCTAATAACATCAGCCACACTATCAGAGGCTCGTTCACCTGCACATCCACCAATGTGATATATGCCATCATGTGCCAGCAATGCCCCTCTGCCATTTACATTGGTCAAACTGGACAGTCTCTACGTAAAAGAATAAATGGACACAAATCAGATGTCAAGAATTATAACATTCATAAACCAGTCGGAGAACACTTCAATCTCTCTGGTCACGCAATCACAGACATGAAGGTCACTATCTTAAAACAAAAAAACTTCAAATCCAGACTCCAGCGAGAAACTGCTGAATTGGAATTCATTTGCAAATTGGATACTATTAATTTAGGCTTAAATAGAGACTGGGAGTGGCTAAGTCATTATGCAAGGTAGCTTATTTCTCCTTGTTTTTTCCTACCCTCCCCCCCCCCCCCAGACGTTCTGGTTAAACTTGGATTTAAACTTGGAGAGTGGTCAGTTTGGATGAGCTATTGCCAGCAGGAGAGTGAGTTTGTGTGTGTGTGTGTGTGTGTCCCCAGGAAAAAAAAAAAGGGGGGGGGGGTGAGAAAGCCTGGATTTGTGCTGGACATGGCCCACCTTGATTACCATGCACATTGTAGGGAGAGTGGTCACTTTGGATGAGCTATGACCAGCAGGAGAGTGAGTTTGTGTGTGTATGGGGGTGGGGGGGTGAGAAAACCTGGATTTGTGCTGGAAATGGCCACCTTGATTATCATGCACATTGTAGGGAGAGTGGTCACTTTGGATGAGCTATTACCAGCAGGCTAGTGAGTTTGTGTGTGTGGTTTTTGGAGGGGGGTGAGGGGGTGAGAGAACCTGGATTTGTGCAGGAAATGGCCCACCTTGATTATCATGCACATTGTGAAGAGAGTTGTCACTTTGGATGGGCTATTACCAGCAGGAGAGTGAGTTTGTGTGTGGGGGGGTGGAGGGTGAGAAAACCTGGATTTGTGCTGGAAATGGCCCAACTTGATGATCACTTTAGATAAGCTATTACCAGCAGGACAGTGGGGTGGGAGAAGGTATTGTTTTATGATCTCTGTGTGTATATAATGTCTGCTGCAGTTTCCACGGTATGCATCCGATGAAGTGAGCTGTAGCTCACGAAAGCTCATGCTCAAATAAATTGGTTAGTCTCTAAGGTGCCACAAGTCCTCCTTTTCTTTTAGCAATTTAGTGTCCTGTAGCCTTCCCACTGCCAGAGCCTTTCCCTGCGGCCTTCCCTCCGCCAGAGCCTCTCACCGCTGCATGCAGCTACACATACTCTAAACACCGCTGCCAGGGTAGACAAGGCATGAAGGGTATGTACAGAACCTAGCACAATGGGGCCCTCGTTCTTGGGTGGGGCCTCTATGGGCTACCGTAATGCTACCAATAAAAGGGAATCTGTGTTCATCTCCCATCTCTCATCGAGTGGGAGAAAGATGATCAATAAACAGAGATCCATACACAGGTGCCGACTTTGGGAATTGCCGAGGGGTGTTCGACCCCTGCTTTGCCCCAAGCCCCACCCCCACTCCACCCCTTCCCCCAAGCTTCCACCCCACATCTTCCCGCCCACGCTCCACCTCCACCCTGCCTCTTCCCATCCCGTTCCTCCCCCTCCCGCGAGTGCACCCTGCCCCCCGCTCCTCCCCAGGCACCTCTTGCACGCCACTAACAGCTGATCTGCGGTGGGAGGGAGGCTCGGGGGGGGGGAGGGGCCGATCACAGGGCTGCTATTTTTTTTTCATGGGTGCTTCAGACCCGGAGCACCCACAGAGTGAGCGCCTATGGATGCATACATGTATACAACTTCATCATTATAGGAAGGTTCCCCTCATCAGCTTTCCCTGAGTCAGCTCAACTGAAACGAGATTCCCCATTAGCTCCAGAAATTTACCTTTGTCCAGCTTTGGTTCAGACAGAGACTCTAGAAGAGAGGGGGAAAAAAAAGGTGGAAGAGGTGAAATCTCGGTTGTTCTGACTGGGGAGAGATGCCTATTGTAGATTTTTGGATCAGGGACCAAAATAGGCAGTCGGGCCTCCTGCATAACACAGGTCAGCAAATTTCACCCAGTGATCCTGCATGAAGTCAGTAATTTCTGGCTACAATCTTTTGGAAAGAGACACCCAGTCTTAATTTTAAAACTTCCAAGCGACGGAGAATCCACAATGTCCACAGGTAGGTGGGCCTCAGTGGTCAATTACTATCGCTATTAAAAATGGGTGCATTATAGCCAGGCTGAATTGGTCTACCTTCAGTTTGCAGCCGTAGACTCTCATCCTGCCTTTGCTAGATGAAAGAGCCCTCTGCTATCAGAAATCTTTGCCCTGTGCACATGGGTGGGTGAACCACCCCCCCTTCAGGGCAGCTAGCCCCCAGCCCCGCCCCTTCCTCCTGAGGCCTCCCCCAATGGCCGGAGCCCTGAGCCCTCCTCCCCCCCACTGACAAGAGGACAAAGTGGAAAAAGCCCTTATAGCCGTGGCAGCAGGCCCAGGGCTTTGGAAACTGGACCCAGAGTGAGTTTGCTTTGCTTTGCAGAGTTCCTGCATGGATACAGAAATTTCTTCCTTGTCTCGAGACGCAGGAATCCACCCTCCCTGGGAAGTGGCTTGTTTTATATGAGCTTTTACTGGGCTGATCTCAACAGGTAGGACCTGCTACACACTGAGCACACAGAACTAGCATCTCCTCTCAGAGTCAGAGACATGTTCTCCCTCTAGCAGTGATGAGCTGCACAGAGCATACTCACCCCCCCCAGTAAGGCTGGTCAAAAATTTTCCATCCCAAACTACTTTTCAACTTAAACATTGGATTTTCGACTAAATGGAAATTTTTCACAAAAAGTGGCAACTTTCCACAGAAATGTTCAATTTATTTGTTGACAGTCTGAACACCTGAAAACTGAAAAGATTTTGGCCAAAAATGCTGCCCTGGTGCCTCATAGGAATTGTAATTTGGTTTGCTCATGTTCCCATTCTCCTTTATGGGACAGGCTCTTGAACTGGACTACATCACCCAGGATGCACCACAGTCAGGGACTCCATGATGCCTAGCATACCTTCCTCAGGAGGAGACTGTGGTGGGTCATGGGAAATGTAATCCAATCAGGGAGCCCAAGCCATAGAGGAGAATGGGAGCCTGTGTCACCTAAACTACAGTTCCCATGAAACATTGCAGCAATATGTCCAAATTTAAATATTTAGTTATTTGACTGAAATAATTTTGTTCGATTTTTTGGGAGTGGGGGAGGGTCTGAAAAATCAATTTTTTCCAGGGAAAATGTTACTGCAAACATTTTTGGTTTTGCTGAAAATTTCCAGGGCGGGAGGGGTAGAAAAAAAACAACAACTATATCTGGCCTTGCTCTGCTCCCTAGTTGCCTATGCTGGGATGGATCCGAGCATTGTTGCCAATAGATAATTGCTTTGCAAGGGGAAATCATCCAGATAAGCTGGGGGACATGGGGCTACCAGGCGCCACAATCTAATGAATTTTGGTATCTGTATAGTGCTTTGCAAACCACTAGCTACTTGGGCTTCAATTTTCAAAGTGGTTTAGGGGAACTGGGTACCTAACTCCTATAGGAAAAAAAAAAACGTTGGAAAATTTGTCTTAAGCATCACCTCTTCCCCTTTGCCCCGGTGAGATAGGAAAGTTATTATCCTTTTGTAAATATGAGGCAGGAAAGATAAGTGACCCAAACCGGTGGCCATGGTTCTCATGGGTTTCTGTAAGGTAGACCATGCATAACCTGTAAACTAGTGAGAAGACTGAGCTCTCTGGAGACATCTTTTCATTATATGTGTGCACAACATCTACAGCAATGGGGCTTTGATCCCTATACAAGTAAATCAAAATTTTAATCGTAGCCAAGAACGGCCCCAGAGTTTGTTACCTTTAAATTTACTCAGAGCGTGCTCCAGAAGTGTGTGCTTCTGAGAGAATTCCTTGACTCTCCTTTTCAGTTCCAGAGGAAGGGATGGTGGACTCTGAAACTTCCCTGTCTCGTATCTAGGGAGAAAAATGGCCTGTTGTTAGTCATTGTTAACTGATTTCAACAACAATAAAAATGTAGTGGGTGAGGAAGAATTATCAGACTTTTTTGATTTAAAAAATCCCTTTTTTTCTAAATCCGAAATTTCAAAATTTCAAAGAAATTCTTTTAAAAAAACGCCACCCAAATCACCCAGCTCTACTTTTTTCTTAAAGTGAATTTAGTTCTAATGGAAGGCGATAAACTGACAGGCTGTCGAGACTTAGGTTCAGATCTATAACTGATGTTAATTGGCATTGTTCCATTAACTCCATTGAAGTAATGCTCATTTTTACCAGCTGGGGATTGACTTTGATTTGCACCAGCTGGGGATCTGCTCCCATTGACTGCAATGGAGTCATGGTCAACATACCCCAGTAGCGGGGGGGTCTGGCTGAAATGACTTTAATGGAGTTATGGCTAATTATACAAGCTGGGAATCTGGCTCTGATGACACTAACAGAGTTTTGCTGATTTACACCAGTGCGGGATCTGGCCTTTCAGTTCCCTAATGAGCCAAAGAACTGGCTTAGTGACATTCTCCAACCCACCACCCCATAGGGTCATGTATGCCTGGAGGGTAGCGAGGTACATCTGTCAAGGTGACAGAACCTTTCCAGCTCCGTTCAGTCATTGGCTGCTCTGCTGAAATTGTTGACAATAGGGGCATGAAGGGCTTTTGTGAGGGGGGGGACTGCCCATCCTGGAAGAAGGTGGAGTGAGACCCACTGACCCCTTTCAAACAGGAGTGAGGAGTCATGTATTTATGAGGATAAATACGACACCCTTGTCTCATGGCACGTTTTAAATTCACTGGGACATGCACCAAATTGACAGGCACAACCCTGAACATGCAGACTGTGCTTAACAGAAAGGATAACCAGGGCACTGACCAGTCCTCAGATGGAAATGACTTCACGCCATTACTGACCTAGGTGGAGTTTTGCAATCATTGACTCAGAAGTTACTCGGGTCATGGGCAGCAGACAACACCCCTAGGTAGATACTGGTAGGTAGCTATTGACTAGACAGCTAGTTGTTTGTTAGCTAGGTAGCCTGTGCTACCTTAACTGGTAAAGGTAGGTAAGTAAATAGCCCATATTCCGTCTCTGATCTCCTGAGGCATCCAGACCATCAGAGGAGTGGATAATTCATAGTGTATCTGCAGTTGAATCTGCATTCTGGACACTGGGGAAACATAAGACAGCTCAGAATTCTGGGGTTGGAGGTAGATTAGGAGCTGCAGGGAGCTTTGTCCTTTACCCAACACCTTCCCAGCAGGCTCAAGTGTGAGGGGGAGTGAGAAGGAGCCATGTACCTGCTCAAGGTGCTTCGGATGTCCTAGAGAGGAGAGAGAAAGAAAAGGGAGTTCAGTCCCACACACCATATACTGGAGATCCCTCTTGCTCTGAGGTATCTAATTTGCTTATTTGAAAATCCCTCTGGGTGCCTAAAAACCTTTGAAAATCTAGCCCCATGGCACATAGGATTCTGAGCCTCATTGAAAGTCTATGGGATTTAGGGTCCAAAATGCCTGAGGGACTTTTGAAAATGGGACTTGGGTCCAGATCCTCAAAGGGCTTTCGGCACCTAACTCCCACTGAAATTAAGGGGAGTTTAGAAGTCTAAATACTTTTGAGGATCCATCCCTTAGGTCCCTTTTAAAACTTTTACTCCCAGGTCCCTTAGCTGGCACGCAGTGGAAGACTCATAAATCTGTATATGTATAAACCTGTTCAGCCACTAGAGGGGAAAAAAGACACATGTTGACATGAGTTATGCACGGCATCAGAACAGGTTAGCATCCAGCTGTGGGCTAATCTGCCAATGAGAACTCTTGAAATGTGTCCCTCATGACACGGACTCATTCCAACCAATAGAAGTATAGCATGCAAATTAGCTGGAGAGAAAGGGAGATGATTGGTTGAGTTCTCTCTGATGTCACATTAGGTCAGGTAAGCCTCACCTGAGCTATTGACTTGGCCCTGTCTGCAGTCTATTAATCTGAGCAATCATAGATTCTCGGATTGTCCATTACTTGCGACCTTTAAATCAAGACTGGATGTCTTTCTAAAAAATACACTCTAAGTCAAGCAAGAGCGGTGAGCTACATACAGGAATCTCTGGGTGAAATTCTCTGGCCCGTAATGAAGGAGATCAGACAAACTGATCCAAATGATCCCTCCTGGGCATAAAATCTACGAAAGTAATGGAAAAACTCATGTGTTTAACTGCTTTGTTTAATCAGAGAACCAGTGTGTTGAGCACCTTGTACCATCAGGACCTCAATGAATAAAATAATGTATGTTTCTGCAATGCGGTGTATTGTGAACTTGGACTTCGATAGCAAAGAGTCAGGGACACGTTTACTAAGGGCTCTGGGGTACCTCTCACATAGTCTCACCTGCAGGAATTCACTTGGTGGCTGCCGGCACTTCCCCTCCATCTCACTGATCAGGGTCCCGAGACGAGTTTTCTCCTGCGTGAGCCTGGTGGTGAATTCATCCTGCCCCTTCAATATCTCCTTGTCCAGCACTTCCAGCTGGGCCAAAAGGAGCAATTCTTTCTCCTCTAGAAACAGATGGAGTTTCTCAAATTCCGACAGAATCTTCATCCTCTCGCTCTCCGTCTGTTGCTGCGATGAGCAGACACAAGCAGGTAAAGGGTGGAGAGAAACATGTGACGGCCCATACACAATAACATTTCCAAAGGAGTCTGTGGCGCTTTGGGGGTTCACCCAGACCAGCAAGGGGCTCTTTCACCACCTGCCCTGTAACCTTGGGTGTCTCTGTGCTGTCCGTCTTTGGTTCAAAGCCCTCATACCAGCAGCCTGCTCAGAGCACGATGGCCTCACCCTACCTGCCACCAGTCTGGTTACTCCTTCAATTCTCCCCCACTTACTTGGTCCGTGACCCCGCAAGAGCCAGGGTGGGGCATGGGAGGGTGAGTGGGGCAGGATGGGGGAGGGGAAGCCACGCTCGGGGCAGGATAGGTGAGGCATCGATACCTCTCTAGCCGGAGACTTCCCTGAGTGCTCCTCCAGGCTCCAACAGCAGCTGCTGCTCTTCCTGGTCCCCGGTGGCGGAGGCTGGTTACTGCGAGTAACCGGACTTTTAGTGTCCAGTCAGCAGTGCTGACCGGATAGTGCCAGGTCCCGTTTCCGACTGGCCTTCCAGTCGAAAACCAGGCATCTGGCTATGCTAAGCCAGGAGAGGAGCTGGAGCGGAACTGGGGGCAGAGAGGGGCTGGGTGGCGCTCCCTCCCTCCTGCACCTGGGGAGGGGGGCTGGCCCAGGCTGCCACAACCTCTCGGACATTCCTCTGCGCCCCCTTAGGGGGGCACGCCCCCACAGTCTGGGGACCACTTTTGTATGGTGACACCAACAGTGTTTCCAGTTCTATGTATCCCCGAAACCATCTCCCATCAATGGCACCTCACAAAAATTATCGAGTTCGCTAATACACACCAGCCTGCTAGGTTAGCTGTGGATTTTACCCTTCAGCTTTATATACAGCCCTGAGATGGTTTTATAATGAAACATGGGTACGTTTGCGAACAAAGAATTGAGACTTAAGTGCTAATGAGTAAGACTAGAAGAGACAGATTGTGGTTACAAGGAAAACACAACAAAATAGGCTTTTAGTGGCTAAAACGTCATTTCAGGAAGTTGCTGCTCTTTGTCTAAACAGGTTTCTCACTCACATTAAGGGCAGATCTATACTTAAAATGCTGCACCGATGCAGCTGCACCACTGTAGCGCTTTAACCAAGACACTCTAAGCCGACGGGAGAGAGCTCTCCTGTCGGAGTAGTTAATCCACCTCCCCAAGAGGCGGGAGCTAAGTCGGCGGGAGATGCTCTCCAGTCGACATAGCGCTGTCTGCACAGGTAGGTCGGATTTTTCACACCCCTGAGTGACATAGTTATACTGATATAGGTCTGTAGTGTAGACCGGGCCTAAGTCTCCAGCAGCTGTAGCCTTCTGGGCTAGGAAGGCACAGCTTTCAAAGGATCAACGCAAAGGTGCTGGAAGTAGGGGTGCAGGGAGTGCTGAAGTGGTTCCCATCATATCCAGGATTTACAGGTTTGGTTCAATGGCTGTCAGCACTCCCACTGTACAAATTGTTTCAGCACCCCTGAATCGAAGGGTGCTGTATTCTACTGAGCCTTCAGTTGCACTGTACCCTATTGTGGCTAGTGTGCCTTGTTATGGATAACAAAATGCCTTTTTGTCTCTGCTTATATCTTCCCCAAGTTCATTAACCCTGTTTCAAGAGGCAGGAAGGCTTGCTAGGGGTGTCAGCTCCATCCCCCATCGTGATTTCAACCGATAGCCACGTCTGTATCCAGTGGTTAGGTCAACTATGGTGCACAAAATTTGTCACAGTCCAAAAAAGGACACAACTAAAATCGTTAATCGCTTTTAAAAATTGAGTCCAAAATTCTAACTGAAAGTCAATGAGTGCCTAAATCAGTACTGAAAATGGGGCTTAGGTAATTAAATCAATAAGACCTGGTCTGCATGTAAAAATTAGCTTGACCTAGCTACATCTCTGAGGGTTGTGAAAAATGTCGCTCCCTGAGTGCTGTGGTTAGGATGTAGACACAGCTAATTTGATGGAAGAATTCTTCCACTGAGCTAGCCACTGACTCACGGAGAGGTGGATTAATGACATGGGTGGAAAAAAACCTTCCATCAATGTAGGATGCGTCTACACTATGGTGCTACAGGTGTAGCATAGACAGGCCTAAGGGCTTATCTACACGGAGTGATTTCCCATAGTGAACTAATGCGTTACACATTAATTGGTCCATGCAGACCCTGCTGGTGTAAACTAAATGTTTCCTGATGAGCTTTATCAGCATTTCCAAGGCACGATCCAAAGACCACTAAAGTCATTGGAAAGACTTGTATTGACTTCTGTAGGTTTTAGATCAGGGCCATATTATTATGAGTTGTATTAGGATAGTGCTCAGAGGTGTGGGGGTTAACAGTCCCAGAGTCTCCAGGAATTAAAGATTAATTTTTAATTGAAGATTACATCATGGGATGAAACCTCCAGGAACAAGTCCCACCAACACGGGCAACCCTACAGAAGCTCCAACTGAGATCACACTAGATGCTGTACAAACACACGGCGAGAGATTGTGGGTTGGAGGGACAGTGGGGGGAGAGAGGGATGTACTGAGACTCGGGAGGCAGAGCAGTGGAGACACAGCCAGTTGCAGGCTGGGATGGAGGGTCCTGGAGGTTCCTACCTGCTTCCCGGGAATGTTCTAGCCCCTCTTTGTCCTGCTTCCTGCTCCTCTGCCCATCTGGGTCCTGCGCTGTCCTCTCTCCCCTCTCATGAGTTCATATGGGGGCAGAGCCCCATATTATTTCCATTGTGGGGGTGCTAGTCTCTCTTCCCACCACTCGGTTCTGCCGCCCTCGGTGAGAGACAGTAGCTATTTTGAAAATCTGAGTCTAAATATACAAGGGGTGGAGCTGATCTCATTTGCATGGGCACACCCACCTTGCCTAGGTGCTTAGCATGATGGGATTGCTTGCCCAAATGGTCACGTTTGGCTGTTGTGGGAGCCCAAGTCTCCTTGTTATTGGGGCAGGAGTAATAAAGGGTTGTTATCCTTGCTGTGTGAATCAAGGGCAGCAGAGCTGTACTTCGCATTTTCCAATTGAGGGACTCACCCTCAACTGAACAGCATTCGCTAAGTTGGGAACATGGGTTCCAAAGCCCAGTGAGTGAGAGAGAGGGTGTGGGCCTTGTGTAAGGGCCCCAGATACCATTTGACTCTGCAGCTCTCCACTGTGTAATAACAGAGGTAATTTAGACTCAATTGAGAGTCTTGTTACACACTACAGAGCTGAAATCACTGATACCTAGGTCTAAGTATTAGCCCTGCTTTGGTACAGTGTCTCTGATGCAAGAGACTGCCCAGTGTGCATCATCAGTGAGGCTCCCTGCACTAACAGCTGAAATCACTAAGACCTATGTTAAGTGGGGGGCCCTGAAGGCATCTTGGTACTTCCAGCACAGTAGCTGGTGGAGAGGTGTGGTGAGCAGTCAGCAGGCGGAGAGTCATGGCAAATGGCCAGCAGGGCAGCTGGTGGAGAGATGCGGCTGGTGGGGCAGCTAGCTGACAGTGCCAGAGCAGAGCCCTGTAGAGAGTGGCGGTGAATGAGTACTTGAGCAGTGGAGTTAGTAAGGTGCCTCCTCCCACCCCCCCGCAGGGTGGGAGGTGAACTCTGCAGATACACTTCTGAACTCTGGGCCTGCACTGTCCAAGGACAGCAACTGTGAGTGGGGTGCAGAAAAGGGACAGTTAAAGGGACTTTTGGGTTACTAGACTTAAGAACCTGAGGGGAAAAGGACACTGCCCAACTTCCTTGGTGGTAGGTCTTTTGCTCATGGTTTAGGTTTATAAACCCTGTTTGCGGTGTTTCCCAAAATTAATGCTGCATTATTTTCCTCCTTTTATTAAAAGTTTTTTTGCTACACTGAGACTTTGTGCTTGCGAGAGGGGAAGTATTGCCTCTTAGAGGCACCCAACTGTGACTGGCAGAAGTGTTACAGAGTTACACATAAATAAGTGATAATACATTATAGAGCATCGCACATTACTCTGTACGACTCCAGTGGTATTCAGAGTCATCACATAGGTTCATTTGCTAATGAGTAAGTACCAGCAGCTCCTGGCTTGTTATTTCCCCATTCAATTTCAGTGCAGCAATGCCCTCCATCTCCTTCTTCAACATCTCCAAACGACTCCTAATTTGTCCCTAGAGAAAAGAAAAGTTACGTGCACCTGAGGGTATTTTTCAGAGTTATTTATAGGTTCACAATTATTAACTCGGTTATAAAACACTCACAAGCTCTGTCCTTCAAAATCATAGAATATCAAGGTTGGAAGGGACCTCAGAAGGTCATCTAGTCCAACCTCTGCTCAAAGCAGGACCAATCCCCAATTTTTGCCCCAGATCCCTAAATGGCCCCCTCAAGGATTGAACTCACAACCCTGGGTTTAGCAGGCCAATGCTCAAACCACTGAGCTATCCCTCCCCCCCCCGTATAATGTATATACACATCAGAAATTATATATGAATAAAGATAATCTGCTTTGTCTAGCAAAGTTCATATGTCACCCTGGATAGAAGAAGACGTCACATCTGTCAGCCATGCATTCAATAGCAAAATAACAATTATTATATACATGTATTTGACAGACAGAAAGTTAAGTCAAACTGCATGCTCCAATCAAGTTAAATAGACAGGAATATTAGGCTCTAGAGACATTATTGTAAATATAGGATGGGGTATTAAAATCCACAGTTTAGAATAAAACTAAATATCGCACTTGATCGTGTATGTACACAAAACTTAATGACATTTCGCAAGAAAAGAATTTGAAAATGAATTTTCACGAACAGCTACATGACCCCCAGTCAGAACGCCTCCTCCTCCCAGCCAGTTTAAGATAATAAAAACAGCAACAAAAATATTTATCAAAATTTAAAATTATGGGTGAGATTCCGTGCAGTATCTCTTTGAGATTAGCACAGAACTTACAGTCCAGGCACTATGATGGGAATACAGAGCTAAGCAATGGATCCCTGCAAGATCAGGTCTTAAGGTGTAAAATCAGCAGTTGTCTCTTGTCTGGGCAGAACTAGGAACATTAAGTATGATACACACATTTAAGATTCTTTTCATAGGTCTTCTTTAGCAGGTCACAGCCTTATCTGTCACTGATGCAAAGTAACCAAACTCCCAGGCGAAAGACTTTGCTAAGGTGAAGTTCCGGTTAAGAGCACATGCCAGTAACTTATTAAACATGAAAAAGAAAGAATGTTGCAGTTATGTAGTTAACAACTAATAAAGGTACATGAAATGAGATCTGGCCAGAAAACGACTTTTCCCCCCCTGTGGAAAATTTTCATTAAAAAAAAAAACAACAACAACAAAAAATCTAATATTTTTTAGCAAAAACTGAAATAGTTTTGAACAAAAACCTTTTCCCCCTGAGGAAAAACCCAACATTCTTGCACAAAGCACCTGCTTTCCATGAACACTTTAATTCAGTCGAAAACTCAAGATCTCTGCGTGCCCCCAGGGGGACGGGTACCCCCGGTGGAGAATTACTGCTCTAAAATATGCCAGGGGTCTCTGTCCAGCCCAGAATCCTGAGGGCACAACGCCATTTAAAGTTGGCCCTGCCCCTTCTCCCCCTGGTCTGTGCCCGCTGCACAGAAGAGCACACACAATGAGGCGTGGTCAAATCAGACAGTTGTGCTGGACAATGATTCCTTCCTACCTTGTACTCCTGGGCGGCCTCCTCTGCAGGAACCACCGTGTGAGCCCTGTGCTCCTTGGACCTGTCACACACCACGCAGATGGGGGACTGATCCTCTCGACAGAAGAGTTTCAGAGCCTCCTGGTGTTTCTCACACGCTCTCCCGGCTCCGGCATCTTTTGTTGATTGCAAATGTAGCTGCTTGGCTATTTCTACCATGTTGGCCAGCTGCCTGTTTGGCCTGAGGTTTCTCTGGGGAAAGGTCGTTCTGCACTGAGGGCAGGAGAAGTCTTTATCCGAGCCCTCCCAGCACTGGGTGATGCAGGCTCGGCAGAAATTGTGCCCACAGTCTATAGTCACCGGATCATTAAAATACTCCAGGCAGATGGAACAAGAAGCTTCATCCTGGAGGCTTTGCCTTGCCTTTGCAGCAGCAGCCATGGCTCATCCCAGGCAGAAGAGCAGTTTAATTTCACTTCCCTGTTCCCTGAAATGTGTTGACCCTTGAACGAGAAAGGGGAGTTTCCCTTCCTGTAAACAGGCTTTGTGGAGTTGAGTCATGGTTCAGAACTGCAGCTTCCTGGTGACAGTTCCCAAGTTTGTCTCGCTGACGGAACAGAAGTTGGTCCAATCAAAGATATTACCTCGCCCGCCTTGTCTCTGCCAGGGACTGCAAGATACAGGACCAAAGCGGTGTAAATCCGTCTGGGGGAAGAGCACAGCTGGGATCACAGCCAACACACTGCGGAAGGGATCGACTAGAAGTGATTTTCAAACTTTTTGTATTGGTTCACACAGCAAGCCTCTAAGTGTGACCCCCCCCCGCCTCCCGTATCAATTAAAAATGGGGGGTTAATTTAATTTAATGGGCGCTCAGGGGGAGTTGACCCCCATCTAACCCCCCTGAAGGATCACAACCCCCAGTTTGAGAACCCCTGGGATCAAGCATGATGCAATGGACCTGTCGCACAACTGGTTTATTTGGGGGAGCCAAGGGAGGTCGGGCAGGAGCGATCGGTCCCGGCAGCGGGAAGCGAACTGTATCTCATTAGTGGTGTATGCAGTACAGGCTCTCCTCTCTGTCCCCCGAGCTGGTGCTGTCTTGGAGGCAGAAAGTAGGTTAAACTCATCCCAGCGGGAGCAAGTGCTCCCCTTCCAGAGAGCAGGGAAGCAGCAAACTTCTCCCTCCTTGTGTCTTGAGCTAACACACGTCTCGTTTCCTTATGACGACCGATTGCTAGGACAGCTCAGGTTTGGCTGTGCAGAGCCCTTTATCTGGAGCTGAAGGGGGTGCGGAGAGAGCTTCGTGAATGAAATGACCATTCACGCACAAACCAAAGTGAATGTTTTCAGTATGAAACAAAAACTGAAACAAGTTTTGTCCAAACCCTGGAAGAAATTTCAAATGAAACCAAAATTCAAGCTTGTCCAACACAGTTTTTATACTGATTCATTCAAAAGCTTTTGGTTGGTTGTTTTTTTCCCCCCAAAAATGCTTACTACTTTTTTTCAAACCAGCCCTATAAGGGTATGTCTACACAGAGATAAAAAAGCCCACAGGTGCCCCAGGTCAACTGAGTCCAGATCACCAGGCTCATGCTCTGGGGATGAAAAGTTGCTGGGTTGATGTTTGGCTCGGGCACCAGCCCAAACCCGAATGTCTACACAGAGATTTTTAGCCCCTCAGCCTGAGCCCCATGATCCTGAGTCAGCTGACCTCGGTCAGGTGCCAGAGGTCTTTTAATCAGAGGTCTTTTAATACCCTAAAAGCCCTACCAAAGAGTCCACTATTAGATAATTTACACCTAATTTACAAGGAGTTGTGCAGGCCCCACTACAGACAAACAGATACAAACCCAAAGCCATGTGCTTTGGATTCCCCAGACGCCATACACAAAATACTGGAAATGAAATGGACTGGGAATGGGGAGGGGGGAGAATTTAGGTTGCCTGATTTTTGTCCTTCTGTAAATTTCTTTCACTTAAAATTCTTCCTCCCTTTAACCTTCTGTGCAAACAGAGTGGTTGATGAAGGTAGGAGGCTGGTGGGGAAGGGAGGGGGAAGCATTAGTGGTATTTGGGCAGGGTGTGATTAATGAATAAGTTACTAGAGGCTGCAAAAAACCTAGCCCTCGTGGGGGAGGAAACCTCAAAAATGTGGCCACCTTGGCAGTGACGTCTGTCTGAGTTTGTAGAGAACCTGAGACAATAGCTCTGGGGGTGGGGGGAAGAGCTGCCCTGAGTTTAACCAATAGAGCAACATCTGCCCAAGTTTTCAGAGAACCTGAGAGAATAGCTCTGAGTGGAGGGAACCACCTTGTGCAATTCAATGAGGTGTTAACTCCCAGGCCCAGTCCTCAGGGAAGGGGGGCCAGTTACCAACCCAACCCCAGCAGGGGACTCTGTCTGTGGTAAGAGGGGAAGAGCACAGCCTCCCCTCGCCACCAAGCAAAGACATCTCAGCTGCATGTGTATGGGTATGGAGCAGGGCCCCCATACTGCCTTTCTGTAGGAGAGAGGCGCTCCCTGCTGCTCCCCAGGAGAGAGAGCTCACTGCTTCTGCTCCTGACAGGCAATACCAAATCTAGCTCCTACCTAGCACTTTGTATCAGTAGAGCCGAAGTTCTTTACAAAGCAAGGCAGTAGCATTATACCCATAGTACAGGTGGGGAAACTGAGGCATGGGGACAGGGACATGGCTTGCCCAGAAGTCCACCGGGGCAGGGAGAGCGAGCGCCTCAGGGCCAGCCCTTCGGAAAATTGTGCCCTGAGCGAATTTGTATGTTGATGCCCCTGGCCCCCGCAGGTGTGGCACCCCCCATTGCCCCCATGGGCTCCCCATCCCCTTCACTCCTAACCCCTGCACTGTGCCCCCGTTGCCTCTAACTCCAGCCCCCTCCTCGTGCGCTCCTAAACCCTGCCCCCAACTCCTCTACTGTGCCCCCTTTGCCCCGAACCCCTACACTCCCCTCCTGTGCCCCTAATCCCTACCCCCTCCTTCACACCTAACCGCTGCATTCCCTTCCTGCACCCACGTGGGGAAACTGACCTGCATGCAGGTCAAGCAGCTGGCACTGTCGCTCACTCCCCCGACCCCGGGGGGCAGCGAGGAGCAGTGGCAGGGCTCACTGCATCCTGGTCACCTTCCCCAGCTGGGCTGCGAAAGGGAAGGGGAGGAGAGCAGCAGCCCAGCTGGGGAAGGTGACCAGGATGCTCAGAGCGCTTGGTGTTGCTCCTCACTCCCCCACTTGCAGTCGCCCAGGTGGCCTACCCCTAAAGCTGTCCCTGTGGTGAGGGCTTCAGCTAGGGGTGCGGGATCTGGGGTGGGGCCAGAAATGAGGAGTTCAGAGTGTGGGAGCTCCTCCTTCCCCAGGCCGGGGCAGGAGATCCAGCTCCTCTGGCTGCCCCCGCCAGCCACAAGGGGCGGGGGGAGATAGAAAGTGCCCCTCCAAACGCAGCCAAATTTTTATCCCGGTGCATGCCCCTGCTTTAGTTAAAGATTAATCTCTAATTCCTGGAGACTCTTCAGGACAATCCAAGTAGATTCTCACAGCAGTAGCTCCAAGTGAACCAGGCTGTGGGCTGTGTATTTACTAGTGCTCCTTAGACAGACCAGGTTCCCTTGCTCACTGGATGGGCTGTCACTTTAAAAAAGTAAACTCTTAGGAGATCAGCTGACTATGAGTCAGTTCCAGGCAGGGAAACCCTCCCAATGGCTACTCCAAGCTGGGTATCTCATGTTTCATCTGCTCTGGATTATTTTAAAGACCCAGTGATGATTATAAACTGCAGGCACAATTTCTGCTGAGCTTGCATCACCCAGTGCTGGCTGGGGGAGATGGAGACCACTATCTCCTGCCCCCAGTGCAGGGAAACTGCTCAGCAGACAAGCAGCAGGCCAAACCAGCAGCTAGCGAATGTTGTAGAAATAGCCAGATGAATGAATTTCCAGGCAGCCAAAGGAGCAGGAGGGGAGAGGGGGTGTGGGAGACACCAGGAGGCCCTGAAACTGTTCTACGAGGAGGATCAACCCCCCATCTGCCTGGTGTGTGATGGATCCCGGACTCACTGAGCTCACATGGAGGAGGCTGCCCAGGAGTACAAGATAGGAAATCTTTGTCTAGTGTCACAGTTAATTGTTCTGGATTTTAACTACCATTTAATTCCACTGCAGTTTGCTTCTGGGGCCTGATTTATTTCTCCCTCTGCTATTATATCAAAGCCCTGGCTAGGAAGATTTAGTTGGGGACTGGTCCTGCTTTGAGCAGGGCGTTGGACTAGGTGACCTCCTGAGGTCCCTTCCAACCCTGATATTCTATGATTATGACAACCCTATAACTTAAGGCTGTAAAAAAAACGATTGAATGAAAAAAAAAAAGCAGCAAAGTTTCTAGAAAACTGAAGGTACAGTAAAAGCTGTGTTATCCAGCACTTTATCAACCAGAAAGTGCTATTAACCAGCATTTCTGATTTCTCCCAATACAAATCCTCAATCTAGTAACCGGGTCAAGTATACTGCCCAGGAAGTTATGCAATTGGCATAAAAGCAGAGTGCAGAATGTGCAAAGAGGCAGCAGACAAGTCAGCAAACTGATATCAGGGATTTTATTCAAAAAAGCAACTTCCAGGGTGTCACAGGGTCAGTCCAGTCAGCAACTTCCAGGGTGTCATAGGGTCAGTCCAGTCAGCGCAATCTCCTACATCTACAGTGATAACTGATGCTGATAATGATGACCGTGGGGCACTGCAAGATCCTGCAGGGCCTTCTGAATCAAAGAAAGATTGTGTTCAGTATAGCTGGGAGAGCTGGACAAGGAGCCTGAAAAGTGGCAGAATGAAATTGACACCCAGCTCTGCGAGGAGAATTCCTATTTCAGCGAGCTGATCAGTGAGATGGAGGGGAAGTGCTGGCAGCCAGCGAGTGAATTCCTGCAGGTGAGACTGTGTTAGAGACACCCCAGGTCCCTGCACGGGGAAGAGGGTCTTCAGAAGCATGAGCGTTTGAATCTGTCATCATTTGAAAAGATGCTGACTTTAGGTGACGGCAAAGCAAGACCCCTCCAGAGCAGGAGGGATCCCCAGTATGTGGCATGGAGCTCTCTTTTCTCTCTCTCCGCTCTAGGATGTCAGAAGTGCCTCGAGCAGGTACATGGTTCTTTCTCACTCCCCGACACGTCATAATGCTAGGAAGGGCCTTGGGCACCATGTTAAAGGAAAAACTCCCATCTCAGCATGTGGAGCAGGATCACAGTTCAGATTCAAATCTTCCTGTGTGGAATTGAATTCTGATGTGATTTTTTTGTTTTTGTTTTTTTGTTTAAGGAGACTCTGGGATTTGCCATCTGTGATAGGGTCTTCCATGGCCAGGTAGATCGCTGGTCTGCAGTGTGTAAGGCCAAAGGTGGTGGTAGGGGGACCCAGGCCCTCCCTCTCCACTGGGTCCCAGCCCAGGACCCTGTGTAGCTCAACCCCTAAACAGGAGAGATGGGGTCAAGACCAGGGTCCCGGGGTTACTTCCTACAAGTCTCTTTAGTCCACTTACCCCACATTTGGGGCTTATCTGCTGGCTGGCAGGTCGCTGATCCATCCCTTGCAGGCAGGCAGAGAATTCCTGCCTGCACCCTGATCAGCTCCCAAATGAGCCAGGCTCCCTTTTCTTCTCCTTCCTCCAGGCCTGGCATTGGCTGCAAGTACACCAGGGCAGGGATAGCTGAACCCACAGGTTTTCGTTATCCCCCGCTGTGCAAACAGGGGGCAGGTGACATTTTTCGATGCTGGTAACAAGACTCCGGTCTTCACTTTCCTGCTGGCCTCTTTCACCGGGGAGCGAATTTGCCCTTTTTCCTGGCTCTGGGGATCCTGGCTCAGATTGCGTCCCTGAGCCGTTGGGTTCAGTACCTCAATGGGCTTCCTCGAGTCTCTGAAATCCGAGTCTCCATGTCCCTGGAGGACCCCCAGTATTCCTTCAGAGCTGAGCCGACCCGAGCCTGTTGACAGTGGGGGAGAAGGCACAACCTCGGAACAGCTGAGTCATGCCTCCCCCAGGCAGCCCCCCCCAGAAAGCAGTGGCCCCTCCCTGCAGCTCCCCGCTCTTCCTCCTGCCTCTCTAGACAGCAGTGCAGTGTGGGATACCAGTGGGATCACAGGTGCCGACTCTGTGGGTGCTCCGGGGCTCCAGAAGTGATGTGTCCTCCCCCCTTTTACATTGTTCCCCCCCAGTATCAGGAGGCATGAGCGCTCCACGGGCCAGAGAGCGACCATGAGAATGCCTCTGCATCCTGGCAGGTAGGCCACTCGGCTGGGACATGGGGAAACCCACAATCCCCTGCTCCAATTAGTCTTTAATTATTTATCCAGAGTGGAGCAGCTTTAGCAGGGAGAGATTGAGGGAGCCCTGCTTAAGGCCATCCCACAGCCCAGTGGTTAGGAGAAGTCTCTGAGAAGTAGGAGATCTCTATTCAAATGCCTTCTCTCCCTTCAGGTGAAGGGGACCTGAAATTGGAGGGGCCCTAGCCCAAGCTGAGTCCCCCCCACCCAGCTGAGACCCCTAGTCACTGGGCTAAAAGCTATGAGGTGCTCAGGGGTGGCGAGTTACATGGGCCCGTGGTGTCCAGGATCCAGCAAATTCAGGGCCCAGGAGCCTGGCTCCACCAATGTTCAAGGCTGGGTCTCCCCCGGCCCCACCTGCCGCTCCCATGCGCCTCCCCCGAGTGTCCCCCGGTCCCCATGTGCTGCCCGCAGGCCCCCACTGCGCTTCCCCTGGCTCGCGGCATCAACTGCCGCCGCAGGGTCCTAGTGCCCCCCCCCCGCCACTAGTGTTGCCTTGGACCCTTCCCTTTTCCAGCAGGACCCTCCACGAGCACAGGGCCCCCCCGCCTGCCGTCACCATTCCTGCCCCACGCTGGGCAAAGGGCAGCCCCATCCCAGTGAGGGGCAGCAGCAGGGGACGAAGCCCACATGTGATGGCAGCCCCCCCCCCCAACTGCACCCACTACAGGGGAGGGGAGGGGGCTTCCTGGACCTGAGAGGGGCCCTAGGAGCATGTGCAGTGATAGTGGGGTGGGGTGAGTGTGCTGCCGGGGGGGAGAGGATTGGGGGGAGTCCTCCTTTCTGGCCCCAACCCTGGGGCAGCCTGCCTGTACCCCAAACTCCTTCTAATCCCCAGGCCTGCCCCACCCAGAGCCCACACCTCCAGCCAGAGCCCTCACCCCCTCCACTCCAATTCTCTGTCCTAGCCCTGAGCCCCTCCCACCCCCCAAACCCCTCAGCCCCAGCCCTGAGCCCCCTCCTGCATCATGAACCCCCCACCCCTGGTCCCACCCCACAGCCCTCACCCTTGAACCCCAACCCTCTGCCTGAGCCCTTCCCACACCCCAAAGCCCTCATCACCAGCCCCACCCCAAAAGCCCTCGCATTTTTACATTATTTTAAAATATATATATCAGCTTACAAGGCAGGTGGGGGGGGGGGTCAGGACTTGGACCTGTTCTGGGCACCACCAAAAGTTATACAAACCTGCCACCCCTGGAAGACCTCTGTGTACTCCCCAAGGTACATGGTTGAGAACCACTCCTCTAGTGCAGCACCCTTCGATGTGTAAGAATTCACTGTTCATCAGTCGTTTCCCCTCAGGTCTTGGGGGGGGGGGGAGGGATGGCCAAGGGTGGTGTTTCTAGGAGGAATAATGTGGGTCCTTCTCAATCCAGTGACCTATAGGCAGTTTGGTAGTGGAGGCAGCTGGTCATTGCGCTTCTTGCCTCCCCCTCTAGCGGTGCAAGAATGATGGATCCCAGAACAATCACAGGCTGCGTAACCCCGTCTGTAATCAACAGCAACACTTTCTGACAGAGACGCAAGGCGCATCCCGGCCGATGGCAGGGGGACAAAGTGTCACTTAGCCGTAAAAGTTTCCCGCCTGCCGATGAGCACCCAAGGATCAAGCTGGATAAGCCAAACTCATTGCACCAAGCCCGTTTAAAACCCCACACTAGGCTGATGTAGCATGATGACAGCTTATGGGGGTCTGAGAGCGAGGCAGGGTGAAGGGAAAAACAGTTGGGACTGGACAGGGGAACCTGGTGGGGGAGAAGGATTCAGGGAGAAAGACAGGGACTGAACAGGGTAACCTGGAGGGAGAACCTGTAAGAAACGTGCGGCAAAGGGAAAAGAGAAACAAGCATGTTAAATGTTATTGAAAGGGACACTAATTTATTACTTGGATGCTGAGCTCTTTGGGGCCGGGACTGTGGTTTTGGTCTCTGTCTCTACAGCATCAAGCCCAGTGGGTCATCCCGATCAATGACTGGCGCTATGAGAATACAGAACCTCAGAGTTACACACACACCTTGGGCATGGAGCTTGTTCGTCACTCTGAACAAAACATTATGGTTCTTTCAAAAGTTTACAACCAAACATTGACTGAATACACCTTTGAAACGTTACTATGCAGAAGAAAAATGCTTTTAACCATCTTAATGTAAATGAAACAAGCATGAAACAGTTTTTTTTACCTTCTCAAATTTTTTTTTAATTTTCCCTTTACTTTTTTAGTAGTTTACAGTAGTTTCTGGTTCCAACTTAGGAGTGTGGTTGACCGGTCAGTTCGTAACTCTGGTGTTCAGGACTCTGAGGGTCTACTGTATTGTACAACTAAAACAATAATAATCCCTTTGAGCCCCCGATTTAGGACAAATGGAAACACGGCAGTTGCCTTCAAAATAATCTTCTCAAATGTAGGCCGTTTGTTGGCTTTGCTTGGGTTAGCAAACCGTGACTGAACTGGAGCGGGTCAGCAAACTTCCAAAAGTGTGACAAAAAAAACACACCAATTGGTTAATTTTTTTTTTCACACCAGCTATAGTCAACTCCTTTTAAGCTGCACGTGTATTTAATTAAAATTTTTTTATTAAAAAAGTATGTTTTTATTCTCTCCCCCCCACCACTTTATTATTTTTTCCTAGCTGCCGTGTGTTTCATTCGTGGATTCTTCAACATAAACGGGAAATGCCACTCACACTGGTGTGATGAAAGGCTGTTTAAGAAAGTGTGGTGTGTGGGGAAAGATACAACACAATCAAACATATGACACAAGCATCAAGGGATGCCAGATGCTCCTCAAACGGCAGGGCAGGGGAGCAGTGAGTGAATCAGTTAGTCTTCCCTGTGGGAAAAGATTGACAGCATTACATGTCGCTCATGGAGACACAAGAAAAATCATTTACTGAGCTGGCTGAGAAGCAGGGGGGACTGGTCCAGTGAAGGGGATAACCCAGATCAGCTGGGAGCAGAGGCAGACCAAGGAATGGCCAGGAACTCTTTACCATGGGGAGAAAGGTAAACTGACTTAATGGGACTGAAAGGCAGCTGAGGCTTGTCAGTGGCAGAGGAAGCTGCCGACCAAGAGTTGGGAGAAGGGCAGGGAAGTCCAGCTCCTTCCCAGAGGAAGGAGAGAGAACTGGCTGGGAATCTGCCAGAGCTGAGGAGACAGGAGCCAAGCTAAGAATAGACACCGAAGACAGTCAGCGCCTTACAGAGCTTGGCATCAGATGGGGAGGTGGCCAACACAGCCCTATGCCAGTGTACAGCAAGAGGTCCTCTTTGTTAAGAATAATTATGGCTGCGTTTGTGAGAGTTCTGGTGCAGCCTGGTCCAGTCCACACAAGAGATCCACTTCCTGGACACTACAGTGCTAATAAACAATGGCCACATAAACACCACCCTATACCGGAAACCTACTGACCGCTATTCCTACCTGCATGCCTCCAGCTTTCACCCTGACCACACCACACGATCCATCGTCTACAGCCAAGCTCTGCGATACAACCGCATTTGCTCCAACCCCTCAGACAGAGACAAACACCTACAAGATCTCTGTCAAGCTTTCTTACAACTACAATACCCACCTGCAGAAGTAAAGAAACAGATTGATAGAGCCAGAAGAGTTCCCAGAAGTTACCTACTACAGGACAGGCCTAACAAAGAAAATAACAGAACGCCACTAGCCGTCACCTTCAGCCCCCAACTAAAACCCCTCCAACGCATTATTAAGGATCTACAACCTATCCTAAAGGATGACCCAACACTCTCACAAGTCTTGGGAGACAGGCCAGTCCTTGCCTACAGACAGCCCCGCAACCTGAAGCAAATACTCACCAACAACCACATACCACACAACAGAACCACTAACCCAGGAACTTATCCTTGCAACAAAGCCCGTTGCCAATTGTGCCCACATATCTATTCAGGGGACACCATCACAGGGCCTAATAACATCAGCCACACTATCAGAGGCTCGTTCACCTGCACATCCACCAATGTGATATATGCCATCATGTGCCAGCAATTCCCCTCTGCCATGGACATTGGTCAAACTGGACAGTCTCTACGTAAAAGAATAAATGGACACAAATCAGATGTCAAGAATTCTAACATTCATAAACCAGTCGGAGAACACTTCAATCTCTCTGGTCACGCAATCACAGACATGAAGGTCGCTATCTTAAAACAAAAAAACTTCAAATCCAGACTCCAGCGAGAAACTGCTGAATTGGAATTCATTTGCAAATTGGATACTATTAATTTAGGCTTAAATAGAGACTGGGAGTGGCTAAGTCATTATGCAAGGTAGCCTGTTTCCTCTTGTTTTTTCCTACCCCCCCCCCCCCCCCAGATATTCTGGTTTAACTTGGATTTAAACTTGGAGAGTGGTCAGTTTAGATGAGCTATTACCAGCAGGAGAGTGAGTTTGTGTGTGTATGGGGGTGGGGGGGAAGTGAGAAAACCTGGATCTATGCAGGAAATAGCCCGACTTGATTATGTAAAGAGTTGTCACTTTGGATGGGCTAGCACCAGCAGGAGAGTGAATTTGTGTGGGGGGGTGGAGGGTGAGAAAACCTGGATTTGTGCTGGAAATGGCCCACCTGTTGATCACTTTAGATAAGCTATTACCAGCAGGACAGTGGGGTGGGAGGAGGTATTGTTTCATATTCTCTGTGTGTATATAAAGTCTGCTGCAGTTTCCACGGTATACATCTGATGAAGTGAGCTGTGGCTCACGAAAGCTCATGCTCAAATAAATTGGTTAGTCTCTAAGGTGCCACAAGTACTCCTTTTCTTTTTGAAAGGATAAAATCGCCTGAAGGAACTTTGAGCTTTATCAATAGATCTGTAATCCAACTCCACTCACTGTGCTGCTTTATCCTCCTCTAGTGGTGGCTGGGTCACATACCCAGGTTGATAAAACTGCAGTAGCCTTGACTCTATGCAGTGGTAGTGTAGCTCTGTTGGTCCCAGGATAGTAGAGAGAAAAGGCGGGTGAGGTGATATCCTTTGTTGGTCCAACTTCTGTTGGTGAGAGAGACGAGCTTATACAGAGACCCGAAAAAGAGCTCTGTGTCGCTCAAAAGCTTGTCTCTCACACCAACAGAAGTTGGTCCAGTGTATATGAAGTCTGCTGCAGTTTCCACAGTATGCATCCGATGAAGTGAGCTGTAGCTCACTAAAGCTCATGCTCAAATAAATTGGTTAGTCTCTAAGGTGCCACAAGTACTCCTTTTCTTTTCACCCACTTTGTCTCCCTATTACTCTTGGCTGACAGAGCTGATTTGTAGCTCAGGCTGTCATGGCTTTGAGTTTTAAAAAGGTTTCCATAAACACTCTGAGTGTCCAGGAAGGGATGCAATTGGCTCGAAGTTGATTTTACAAATGTTAATAGCATTTGCTGGAAGGGAAACCTAAACTAAAAACATGGTTATCAGTATAGAGATAATTATTTCCTCATTTTATTTTGGATCTTGCTTTTATCCCCCTCATACCTTTAAGTTTTTTTCCCCTTTTAATTTGTACTCTAGATTTTTTTCATTGATTCATAGAAATGTAGGACCTGGAAAGGACCTAGACAGACCATCCCTGACAATGTTTGTCTAACCTGTTCTTTAAAAACCTCCAATGACAGAGATTCCACAACCTCCCTTGTAAGGCTATTCCATTTCTGAAGTATCTTTATAGTTAGAACAGTTTTCTTAATAACTAACCTAAATTTCACTTGTTAAAGATTAAGACAAATACTTCTTGTTGTACACTCAATGGACATGAAGAATGATCACCATCCTCTTCATAGAAACCCTTAACGTATCTGAAGGCTATCAGGTTCATAAAACTATCATTATTTCACACCTCCCCTGTGCAACATTCTTACTGAAAGATGAAGTATTGAATGAGTTTAGGCAAAGCACCTGCATAAAATTTCTAACCACAGCAAATCATTACATCATTTCATGTTTTCTGCAGATACAGGTTGTGGTCCTTCTTTGTCTTACTGCTACTGGAATAGAACTTATAAATGCCAAAAATTTATAAGCTTAATTTATGTAAAAGTTCACTATACTTTAAAATTTTTTAATTCAATAAATATTAAAACAACATTCTTCAGTTAAAGATTTTACTGAACTTAAAAAAAAACCAACAGAAAATGGGCAACCCTGAAGAGTATATTTAGAATCTAATAATTTTAAAGGGTCAGCTAAAAAACTTTGCTTAGAGATGGTGTATTTAGCATCAACCCTAGTAGTACCTTTAAATAAAGCATACTTAGATCACTCCCTACATAATAATAAGCACACCACATTCAGGATCTTTCTTAGAATTCATAGCCAAGTACTTATTGTACCAAGCCAGCAATATTATTCTTCCACTGATACACTCAAACAAGCAACCTATAAATATATTCTTACACTCATAACCGTTGAAAACAAGCCTGTGACTGGGAAAACTAGCTATATAAGGGCCCTTAAAAATATAAGCAACAAAACTTTTCTGTTCTACATTACCACCAAAATGAATCCATCCTCCCTTACCTCCCTGCCTGCTTGCTTCTCTAGGCAGGCAATGAACCAGTACACCGGCCGGAGCTCCTTTTATAGAGCGTGAGAGGACCTGAAGGAAGACTGAGACCTCTTACCCTGCGGCCCTGGGGTAACACTGCCCCCTGGCGTGTTCCAGCAGCGAACAGCAACTCCTCGCTACCTGGATATGGAAATAAACGGAAGCGTTTCGCCCATTCGCTTTTTCATTGGTTTGTTTGGGAAACCAATCAAACGGCACTGACTTTTGAAGGAAAATATAGACTTGTTTCATGGTGGGGGACATGGCTCCCTCTCTTACTTAGAAACCGTTGCTCACAGGGACCGGGGCTGTATGGTCCGACCGCGCCTAGCATTTGTTCCTAATTGGGGTTTCAGTTTGATGTATCAATACAATGAAATATTTGCTGAAATAATCCCTTAATTCTACCTCTATCCATTTACAAAGCACAAGTGCTATGCCCGAATGGGTGGGGAATGTTTTTGTTCCCCACATGTCGCTCATGGAGAAAGAAACCAGAATCCTTATCACAGAGGAGCACCCCAAAAAGTGTGTGTGTGGGGGGGTGTTTTCTTTTTTTTCTCTTACTACAGGGGAAGTATTAAGTATTGTGGCCCAGCAAAGGATCTTTGTTTCATTCCTACATTTTTCTCCCAGGTGGTAGCAAGAACACAGCGCCTTGTTCATAAATCCATGAATGTCCCTAAAGGAGCCAAACTGTATCCCGCTATTGTAGTGAGAACAAAGCAAATCGCTCGGACAGCGGCTGGTGGGAAGGTGTCTCCCTTAGTGGAACAGCTCACAAATTACTGTCTTCTAATAAGACCACGAGATAAGCTTCATTGTTTTTCAGTTTGTTTGTTTTTTACGGGACCAGGACAGCGAAGCTCTGAAAACGAAGGTCGCTCTTGAAATCCGGAGCGACTTTTCTGACCAGGCGCTAGCTAGCAAAGCAGTTTAGGGAGGAGCCGCAATAGCAAACCACTTGATCAGCGCTGCCCCCTCCCCCCCCAAACCTACACCCTACCACCTCACCTCCACTTTCACCCTCCCCCCCCACCCCTCACCCCACCCACCATTCCCCCACCCCACCCACCAACCAACCCCCACCCAACAACAACAACCACTTCCACAAATCAAATACACCTTTAAATAAAAACCACCTGGGGCGACCATAACAGAACGCCACTAGCCGCACCTTCAGCCCCCAACTAAAACCCCTCCAACCATTATTGATCTCCCTAGCCCCCCCCCCCCCCCCCCCCCCCCCCCCCCCCCCCCCCCCCCCCCCCCCCCCCCCCCCCCCCCCCCCCCCCCCCCCCCCCCCCCACCCCCCCCCCCCCCCCCCCCCCCCCCCCCCCCCCCCCCCCCCCCCCCCCCCCCCCCCCCCCCCCCCCCCCCCCCCCCCCCCCCCCCACCCCCCCCCCCCCCCCCATTTTTTGTTTTTCCCCCCCCCCCCCCTGTTTTTTTTTGGGCGGGGGGGGGGGGGGTTGGGGGGGGGGGGGGGGGGGGGTAAAGGGGGGGGGGCGCGGGGGGGGGAGGGGGGGGGGGGGGGGGGGGGGGGGGCCCCCTTTTTTATAAAAACCAGGAGGGGGGGGGGGGGGGGGGGGGGTTTTTTTATTTTGTGTGTATATAAAATTTGGTTTTCCCGGAAAAAATTGATGAAGGGGGGGGGAGCCCCCAAGCCCACGCTCAAAAAAAATTGGTTGGTTTTTAAGGTGCCACAAGTGCCTTTAAACCGATACCGATTAATCTTTTTCATCCCACTTGTAGCAAGATCATGCTTCCGAACAGCGTTAGGTGCCTGCTGACTCTGTGGCATCTCCCCGCAAGTAGATTTCCGAGCAATCTGCCTTGGTCTCACCTCAACCTGGCAGTGAATGTCTCAACATTGCTACACCAATCAAACAACCACAACAGGAAATACGGTACAATTGTGAGCTCACATATATAGAGGCAAGGGCGGGCGCTAATTGGATGAAAAGAGGAATCATTGGGAGAGCGTTTGAGGGGGAGGACAGGGATTGGGCAGGGGAAGGAGGCCTGCACTCTCTTTGGGCAGTACGTTACCGCTTTGCTGGACCTGATAGGAAACAGGCACCAGTGGAAGCCCGGGCTCCAGTTCTCCCCTAGAATCGCTGTTAAGAGACAAACATGGATATAAATTTCCTAGTCAAAGTGTATTGAGGTTACGATTTTGATCATTACTACGGAGTAAAACGATCTTTTTAAAGTCTGTGTTTACGTGAGGATTTCTTTCACGGGACTCTTTTTTCGGGGGAGGACAATTTTATTAACTATTTAAAAAATCAACTTTGAATATTTTTCCATAGGAAATTTTGGATTTTTTTTACGTTGTTCAATGTAACCTTATCATCATGAATAGAGGCACAGAATAAAATTCCGAATCAAAGATTTCCCTCCAAGAAGCATCTTTGTTGGTAAAAGCTCACGCCGCACCGCCCATGCTCTCCCGCCGAAACATTAGCTCATTTAGTGAGTATTGAGGGTGGCTCTTAAAAGAGCCTTTGAGTTTATATTAGCGGACAAGGAATGTGTTTTTAATGCCTCTTGACAGCAGCTTTGCCGGGAGGGGCAGCCCTCCCCTTGGCTCTGGCCGGGTTCTTGCGAGTCTTGGGTTTTTTAACAGCTAGCTTGGTCTCTCTGCCAGGCCCCTTTGCTTTCCTAGCTGCTGGGACGTTAATTTTTTTCGGAGATCTCCTGGCTACTATCTGGTTTTTGGGTCTCTTGACGGCCGTTTTTTTCTTCGTTGTTTTCAAGGCGCCCCCCTTCTTCTGGTGCTTGTTGATCCTGAAGGATCCCGAGACGCCGCTGCCCGTCACCCGCTGCAGCAGCCCTTTGCTAACGAGAGAGCTGAGAGCCGCCTTTAGGCGACCGTTGTTCTTCTGCACGTCGTATCCCTCGGCCAAGAGCGCCTTTTTGATGGCAGCCAGAGAGGCGCCCTTGCGGGCTCTAGAGACGCAAACAGCCCGCAGAATGAGGTCGTGGAGAGACGGCCTCCCTCTTTTCTTGGGTGGAAATGTAGCTAAGGCTACGTCTGAGGAAGAAGTCTGGAGGATGGAGCTCAAATCTCGCATGTCTCCCCACTGTATTCACAGCCACAAGAACCGCCACCGCCTGCCTGCTGCTGCAGCTGCAACGGCGGCTGCTACTGCCGCTGCTGCCGCCGCCGCCGCCTCTTATCTGCAAAGCGACAACCTCCCACGAAGCTTCCAGGACTCTCCGCTCCAAACTGATCTCACTGGCCCCCTGCCGGGCTTTATATAGAGAAGAACCCGACGCAACCGACTCAACCAGCTCGCCGCGCGCACCACCTCCCCTCGACGGCGGACGCAACAGAATCAATGAGCCTCCACTCGCCTCCCAGCGTCCCACAAATCTGTGTTTCTGAAACTCCACTGATCTCTAATTTTAAAAGTCCGACTGGCTTTTTGCTCAATTAATGTAGACGTCCCCAGGCTAGGACTGTTAGGTGTTTTCATTCGCTGCATCTTTTGGATCCACCGAATGGGCTCCCCCCGCCAGAAATCGACAAAACCCTCGATTTATCCATCGGCCTGTCCCCCAAAAGTAAACAAAATTTGGGTTTAATCTTAAATTACAATTAAATTTTTGTACCTGCCTTCAAGATATCGAGGGAACAGTATTAAGGCGGAGTGAGGTATCCCACACAAAGAAATTAAATGGTTTCCTTCTTTGTCTTTTTGTGCAGCGCCCTTCCAAAGACAAACAAGAAACACACCTAGGCTTCCCCATGCTCGCCTATGAGGATTTGTCTACTTTCAAAAGGAAATAAATATCTCTAGTTTTCTGTCATAGTAAAACATTACCAAGTACTTTAAACGTACTGCTATTTTAATTTCTATAGGGATGCATCCTACTCTCATTCACCTGGCTGAAATTAATGTCAAAACATCCATTTACTTCAGTAGAAAGTGCAAAAGTTAGAGAAAACTATAGGATACACATGCAGAAAAAAATGTAACAGGGAGGAAGAATAATTATTTTCATGTGTTTGGAAAATAATTATTTTGTTTTAAGGTACAGGTTTTTAGTAAAAGGGGAAGCTAACTATGATATGATACTTTAGGTTTTACGACAGAGGCATTTTATTTTATTAAAACCTTCATATTTGTGAAGAATTTAGAACCCGATTGTTTTATGCCTCTGGCTTAAAGGTATTAACCTGTAACCTGCAAAAGTGGCTAGAGGCTATGGGTGCCTCAAATGTCGAGTTCCCAGCACCAGACTATTGGGGGGAGGGGGGAAGTAGTGGTTTGATTGATGTTGATAATTCAGGTGTTACAGTTGTTGTCTCACATTACAGGACCAAAGTGTCATCCAGCATAACCATATAATCGAAAAGGAATAACTTTAAAACGGACAAGAATGATTTAACGCAATAATTACCCAGCAGGACTCAAAATTATTGAGGAAAAGACTTTAGGATTGGATAGTTATATAAATAACAAGATCATTTACACTTAGCATTACAAGGAGAGGGAAGAGACAAGTGTGTGTGTGGGGGGGGCCTAGAAAGGACAAACCCACTCACACTTCAGGACAAGATGCAAGCAGCCTCGACTTCCCTGGAGCTTGCTGTATATGGACGGGCGCGATAAATTCTGTAGCAATGAGCTCAAACAGGTAATTTGCGGTGATTCAAGATGCTCAGGACCTTAGAAAACATGCCCGGGTGCCCATGTGAACCTACTTCAGCATCTCGTACAAGTATCCGGAATAAAACTCTTTCCTCCTCTTTTTCAGCACACTTCTTTGCGACATCACCAATCAGCACCTGTCTCCCTATCCTTTTCCCTACAAAAAACCGAAACGTAGGAGCTCAGAGTTCCCATTTATTAAGTAGTGGCAGACCTGAAGGGAGACTGAGACCGCCTACCACCTAAGCTTTCGCTACTACAAGTCTCACCCTTCTTCACTTCTATATCTACCCATCACGCCTCGCTTTCTTGATGTGCAATTAAGGATCCAAACATTTCTCCTTTTCATTAGCTCATCCGGCAAGCCAAGCAAAAATAGAACCAATGTCTCCCCGCCTCTAAAGTATCTGTCATGAAATTAAAATGCCATAGTGTAAACCCTTCTCTTATCCTTATTCTAGAGACTATCCCGAGAAAATGATGCAATTTTAACAGTAATTTGAGGACAAAAATCACGATTTTTGTTTCCTTAGTCGGGGAGCAGATCCGAGATTTGTGTATGTTTTCCCTGCCAGAGCTTTATTGTTTTAGTTTATCTGATCACCAAACTCTGGTGAATGAAACATCCTCACCAGGAGAACATACCACGCAGGTTGTTAGTGCTGAGGAGCAGGGGACGGAACCAGGCTGATTCGGTTGCGTCAGACACTGGGGTATAACTACCCCTCGGGCTGCAGCTGCCGGGCCCGGCTTCAATCTGCGGCACCCTGAGGTGCAGGAGGCGACGAGCTTGATTTTCAGGCTGCGCCGGAGCAAGTAGGGAACAACTATCAAAAAATAGAGAACGCAGCGCCTCTTGAGTCTACCCAGATGAACACAGATCAGCCGGCTGGCCCTTCCCAGGCACCAACCAGCAAGAGAACCAAGCGGAAGAAGAGGAAGGCGGTGCTGATAACTCGAAAAGACCGGGAAGGTTTTGCCCACTTCATTCTCCAGACCGCGGATTTCTCCAAGCACTCCGGGGAGATCTTCCTGGGAGTCATCAGGAAAGAGCTGGCGGCGGAGGGGATCGATGTCAAGAAGAACAAAGCGCATATCAAAGCGGGGCTCGGGAAGCTGGTCTCCACTAATGTCTTGCTTAGGGTCCCGGGCTCCTACAAGCTTATCGCAGAAGCGAAGCTACCCCCTCAGCCGGTGAAGAAGGACAAATCGGCAAAGAAGCAGGGGGCTGAGAAAATCAAGAGGAAAAAAAAAAAAGCAGCGAAGAAAAAAGCCAAGAAGAAAGCAGGGGATCTTGTGGATCGGGAAGAGGAAACTGGAGAAACTGTCGCTTCTGTATCCTTTGTGCAGTGGGAAGCATCTCTCGAGGGGAAGTCCTAAAAGTCCCATAATTCTACCGGTTCATTCTGCTGAAAAAATAAATAAACCCAAAGGCACTTTTAAGAGCCACCCCAAAAACTTTCCCTATAAGAGCGTTAACACAAATGTACCTTTAAAAAAAAACAACTTTTTTTCCTGTATTTGTATAGGACCAGATCCCAGGCGTTAGGGAAGATGAAAACTATATAAGCATGGGTCAGTTGCCTTCTTTATCAAACCCCCCCCCCCCTTATTTTAAGTCAGTTACTTCAATGGCAGGATCTAACTAATCTTGAAAGCGCCCTGCCTTTTCCTGCTGTTGGTTTTCCTGACCTGCTTATCATAAAATGCATTCATCAATGGTAGCGCTGCAGTTTGCTTTCTATTCTATGAATACATACAACACACACAGCCCTCCCTTATCTCTGAAAAAGCCGCGATACAAAATATGGCACCAGAGAGCAAAGACGTTCGCTCTTTTGATGAGCCCTGGGGGATGGTTCTGAAAAGAACCGTTTTGTTTTTTCGCCCCTGGCCTGAGCCTTCACTCCATAAGGAAGGTGCCCTTAATAATATCTTCTAAGATCTGCTTCCTGCGCGTTCCCACCGTCCCCTTGATTTTGCCCGGGCTCCTGCTGACCCTCTTGGGTCGTGCAGCAGCCGGTTTCGTTTCCCCGCTGGGGTCATTTGGCCCTGGGGCAGCTGTTCCTGTCTTCGCCGAGCTCTGGCTCCTCTTGGACGCGGCTATTTCCCCTTTTCTGCTTTCGGGGAGCCGCCTCCCCGCTGGAGCCTGAAAGAGCCCGGGGCGCCGCTGCCGCTGACCCGACGCAGAGCCCCTCGGCTCAGGAGATAACGGAGCACAGTCTTGATGCGGCCCTTGTTCTTCCGCACGTCGTATCCCTCGCCCTCCAGCGTCTTCTCGATGGCGGCCAGAGAGGCGCCTCTGCCGGCGGCGGGGACATCAGCCGCCCGGAGAATGACCTGGCTGAGAGTCGGTTTCTTCCTTCCCTTGCGCGGGGGATTCTCCCCAGCCGGGTGGGAGGCTGCAAAAGCCGCGGGGAGAGGACGCGAACCGGGCATGTCCCCGCGAGTCAATCCCAGCTGCTGCCACCCAGACCCGCACGTGGGGCCGCCGCCCTGACACTGAGCCCAGCGGCCGCCGCTGAGGCCGGATAGCGAGCAGAGCCCGCCGCAGCCGAATCAATCCCCTGCTTTATTCCTGCCCCTGCGCCCTCTCCCCAGCCGGTGTTTCGTCTGCCCCACTCAAGTTGCCCGCAAAAAAGCGCCAGCCCCGATTTGCACAATCGTTTCCCCTCCCCGCTCGAGGACACAGCTAGTTCCCCCGCTGGCGTTGTCCGAAATATTCATAAGTTGCTGTCTGGGATAGGTCACAAAACTGGGCTGTGTAACTATATGGCAAATGTGCTTGATTGAAGATGACAAACATTAAGCAGTACATTCACCTGCCAAAAAATTACAAAAAGCCCTACAGCACTGAGATCCTTTATGATTGTGCCTCACACTTGGTAAGGCAACTCCCACCCTTTCATGTATTTATACCTGCTCCTATATTTTCCACTTCATGCATCTGATGAAGTGGGTTCCAGCACGTAAAAGCTTATGCCCAAATAAAATTTGTTCGTCTCTAAGGTGCCACAAGGACTCCTCCTTGTTTTTCCTTAATTCTCCTGTAACTCTGCATCCTTTTGTCCTTGTAGACTTTTAAAGAAAGAGTTTCAAAGTCACCAATAGCAATTAGGCCTACCTGGAACAGCCTAATTCTAAGGAAGACTCCCAACTCTGATTGAGTTTAACTGCCACGTATACCTTTGAAAATCTCCCATTTATGTATCTAAACATTTCTCATTTAACGAACAAATTTTCAGAAATGTGCAAATGAACATATCCCATATACATATTTACTCAGTCGAGCTGTATGCTTCTTAATTGGCCACATACTGAGACAAATTCTTATTTTGTTGTGTGTACCCACTATGGCATTATATGCATTGCAATCGGGTGGAATATGCATTACCGGTAATCAGTGCTCCCTCTGGAGTATTTTCTATCATGAAGACCATACAGATCAATGAAAGAAATAGCTAACAATAGCTGGCTAGAACGAAGAGTGGGGCTGATGTATTATCAGAAGTTTCTTCCTATCTATGTCAGGGAGAATTTGCTATGCCCGTTCCCATAAAGGTGATAGGAAGGCAAAAACAGGACACAGCCTTAGTTCTTGATACTACATTCCGTGTTAGTTACTAGCTGGTGCTTTCTCACACAAAAACACAGCGTCAGTGTTGGGCAAGACCCCACAAGAGCTTGTTCAGCACTTCAATCTTTGTGGACAGCAAACTATGGAGGGTACAGAACAATTGG